ATTTCCTTATTGGTATCAACTACAATTTAGACCAATTACAAGTGCCTAAACGATATTAGACCAGCAAAAACTTTAAAAAAATGTAGAGATTTGTCCTCAGGAGAAGGACTGAGTTATACCTTTTGAGTTAATCCTATTTTGCAAATTTTTTTTCATCTTCAGTTTCTTGTGGACCACTGTAGCGAAAATTGTCATGGCCATTATTTTGTCTTAGATACAGATACTTAACTCTTCTTTTCCTTCAATAAATGTTTAATTACAAAGACAGCATAAATCAAATAAATTTTTGTACTAAGAAAAGGTGATGCTTTTAATCACGTTAAGGTAAATATTAATGACCTTTCTTTTTTTCAAGTAATTTATCTAAATTTAATCTATGAGATTTTTATCTAAAGAAAAAAGGTTAATTCTAAGGAACAAGATCTGTAAATCGCAAAAATATTTTTTAAATTTCTCTTACAAACCCACTTCTTTATTATTTATTTCAAAGAATTACTCTCTTCATTGAATATGCTAAGTAATTAATTATCACAGAAACAGCAAGATGTTAGTAATTAGTATTCAAGATATTTTGAACAAGTTAGTCAAGTAATACCAGCTGTAGGTAAACAAATAAGAATGAGATTTTTCGCACACACTAAAAGAACGAAGATTTTTTCCTAAATAGATGTTATTTAAGATGTTAGATTAATTGTAAATGTTTCTCAATACATACGCAAAAATTGTGTTCATATTCGCGATCGCAACGAACTATAGGGGGCGTTGTTGCATGAGAATAATACCTGCGATTTCTATGTGAACAGTCATTCAGTTACTCTGGAGGAGTCTTTAATGTAGCTTGTAACATTGTAACGTTCCTTCTTTATCGTGGCTTGATCAATTTAAAAAGCAAAAATTTTTGATATTTTTTCTTATGCAACCAAAAACAAGATGGTATCTCCTTTTTTTTTTTTAAAGAAGGAACATCCAAAACACATCTGAAAAATATTTGTAAATAAACAGAAAAAAATATGTATCTTCTTATTAGAGTTAAACCTGAGAAATAGTTTTACTAAATTTAATGATATAACCTGAAAGGCCTATTTAAAATCATATTACTTCAAACATTAAAATAAGCAAAAAGTATACATAAACTTCATAATTTTATAAAATTTAATTTTGCAAAAAAAGTTCTTTGATAACAATTTTTATCAAAAAATTTTAAGTTTTAATAAAAATCATTATTTAGAAACTAAAAAAACGTAAAATAAAGAATGCCTACGATACAAAGCAAGAAAGAAAAAACCAATTCTAAAAATTCCTTACATTAAAATAAACAACTTTCATGTTTTTTCTTTTTTGATTCATAATCGGACGCAGAAAACCATATGGTTTCTATGGAATATTCCATAGAAAACTATCATCAAATAAGAAAAAAATTACTTAAAAGTAAAATTTTTTATTTTATAAAAATTCACACTTACCTGCTTTATAAATCAGAAGAATTCAAAAATGATTTGTTCTTCGATTTTTGTTACCATTTTTTAGTGCTACGAAAATGCGTCTTTGGGATTTGCCAAAAATAGAACAACCCAAGTAGCACTTAATATTAGATAATATCAGAAAATCGGCAAAATCTAACGTTATCTTACACAACTTCTAATATTAGAAAGATACAAAAGGTCGCTGTTTGCTCTGCATTACATAATATTAGATTCTATGCAAACTAATATTATCTAACGTTTGCCATAATATTACTTTGCGTTAGTTTTGATACTATATAATATTAGATTTTGTTATTTTCTGATATTATTTTGCACTGCTTTTTATTATTTTGGAGTAAGCAAGAGGAAGATATGGATGGTAGTAGAATAATTCAGCGATATAATTTTATTTAATTTTCTGTATTGTTGTGAAACAGTAAAACATAGAACATTAGTTTTATGTCATTCCATGCATTATTTACTTAGCAGTACAGAAATACTAAATAAAATTATATTAGCGAATTCTGCTGCCTTCCATTTTTTCCTCCTTACTCCAAAGTATATCTTATGTTCAGCTGATTTTTTTTGAATATTTCAAACTTGATGAGGAAATAATATTTTATTGCAACTTTTATTGATATTTTTTTCTTTTATTCATACAATGGGTTTTCTGACAAATTTTGTATCATTAATAATTTTCAAGTCTTTAATTTTAAAATGTACTCTTAATTTTTTTTTTAAAAAAACTGGGTTTATTTTATTAAAATCTTAGTTTAATTTGTTAGTTTGTAATATATATTTTTTTTAAATGGTTTCACAATTATCATTCATTATTTATATTCTGAAATTATATAATAAAAACCACACTATATAATTATTAAGTTATATATTTACATTTGAACTGAGGGGAAATTTAAACTTAAAATTTTCCCCCCTTATAATATTAAAATTGTTCAATTTTTAAGTGGACATTTCTTGTAATAATAGGCACAATATAGAACAAAATTTAAAAATATTCAAATTACTTACTTCAACAAGTTTACACATATTTCCCCCCCCCCCCTTCTTTTTTCACTGGAATTGTTAAATGGAGAAATACTTATTCAACTTTATTCTTTTAGTATTTGAAATTTCATTTAGCAAAACACCTAAAAACAAAATTCAAAAGCAAGGCAGAAATTTTTCCAGGGTATGAAACCAGGAAAGCAACTAATATCATAAAAATTGCTGATATTTTTTTATAATGTTAAAATAACTTTTATGGGCATATCAGAAATTTTCATCAATGCGATAATTATTCAAAGGTGTTCTATTAAACTAACAATCTTTGCAAAAAATTAACACAACATTTTAATTTCAATTTTAATTAACTTAATTTTTTTTCTCGGATTATATAGTATGCGCTATGAAGAATTAGTTTTAAAATAAAAACAAATATTATGCATTTAAAAAAGTTGCTTTTGCAAAGAACCTTATAAAAATTTAAACAAGATTCTTCTCTAAGTTGATTTAAATCTGCTTTTACAATGATGTAGATAAATGCTCTGCTAAATTTTAAATATTAAGCCAAAGAAATTTTTATTATTATCATTATTTTACAATCACATTAATTTAAGCATCATAAAAAAATATATATGCTTCTTACCTCAAATTTGAACTGCAAAATTGAAGTAATAAAAACAATGGTAGTAGTATAATTGCTCATAAGTTAGAGTTAATGTTGATGTAAAAATAAAATTGCTTCTGATATCTTCAAAATTTCTTGAATTTTCGTAATACTTAAACATAACTACCCAAGTAGCACGGGGATATTGTACCCAAGTAGCACATAATGTTATATAACATCAGAAAATCAGTAAAATCTAACGTTATCTTGCACAACTTCTAATATTAGAAAGATACAAAAGGTCGCTGTTTGCTCAGCCTTATATAATATTAGATTCTATACAAACTAATGTTATCTAGCGTTCGCCATAATATTATTTTGCATTAGTTTTGATGCTATATAATATTAGATTTTGAATTTTCTGATATTATTTTGCTTCGCTTTTTATTTTTTTGGAGTAAGCAAGAGGAAGATATGGATAGTAGTAGAATAATTCGGCGATATAATTTTACTTAATTTTCTATATTGTTGTGAAGCAATAAAACATAGAACATAGTTTTATGTCATTCCATGCATTATTCACTTAGCAATACAGAAATACTAAATAAAATTATATCAGTGAATTCTGCTACCTTCCATTTTTCTCCTCTTTACTCCAAAGTATATCTAATGTTCAGCTGATTTTTTTGAATATTTCAAACTTAATTAGGAAATATTTTATTGCAACTTTTATTGATATTTTTTTTTTTTATTCATACAATGGGTTTTCTGACAAATTTTATATCATTAATAATTTTCAAGTCTTTAATTTTAAAATGTACTCTTAATTTTTTTTTAAAAAAATGGGCTCATTTTATCAAAATCTCAATTTAATTTGTTAGTTCGTAATAAATATATATATTTTAAATGTGTAACTTAAGCCATTTGTAATTTCACAATTATCATTCATTATTTATATTCTGAAATTATATAATAAAAACCACACTACATAATTATAAAGTTATATATTTACATTTGAACTGAGTGGAAATTTAAACTTAATTTTTTTCCCTTTATTAAAATTTTTTGATTTTTAAGTGGACATTTCTTGTAATAATTGGCACAAATAAAGAACAAAATTTGAAAATATTCAAATTACTTACTTCAACAAATTTACACATATTTTTTCCCCTTCTCTTTTCATTGGAATTGGAAATCCAAATTACTTGAAATAGTGCCATTTAAATGGCACTATTTCAAGCAATTTGGATAATTTTTTTATTGTTGTTTTCCGAATTATATGGATACAGAAATATATACTATTCTATAACGAAGAAGAATATTCTATAACTATTACAGTTCTGTACGTTCTGAATTCACATTTATTTATTGGACCGACGTAATGAATTGATGTTTGAATTGAAGACAGAAGAAATGCATTTTATCTTAATACACACATCTATAACAGTATGCGATAGTGAAATCGGAAGATATCAGTTGCACGTTTGTTGATAATAGAAGTTAAAAATTATTAAGAAATTTTTCTTCGAATTTTCGGCGCGTTCTGGGTCTGAAAGATATCCCAATATTCTGGAGAGTTTTTTCAAGTTCTTCGGCTTTTTTTAGGGAAATTTTCATTCTTATTTGCTGCTAAGAAAATGGCGTCTGATTCTGCCGATGATTTTGATGGAACTAAATGAAAACGTGATAAATTAATGTCTGATATTTACAGGCTCCTGCTAGAGGGCGTACTCGAGCGTTGCGATCGCGAGTTCTAATTGTTTTACTTTTTATAAATATTTTTACGTCGTCTGCTTCAAGACATATTCTTGTTTTAAAAATTTTTGCGTAATCTTTTAGTACGTTAGTAGCCTTTTAACCCTACTTTGTTTTTAACATTTCAACCTATGTTTTGGCCTCATCTATTTCTAAGAAAATATATGTACGAAAATAATCAGTCGGAAGCGTTGTTCTTTTCGAGTCAAAACATTGAAGTGTGTAAATAGTTGTGTACATCGTTCCCAATACGAATTTCTTCCTAATATTTTTATTAATTTAGTAAATATTTATTGCTTAACCTATCGGCATACTATTTTATTTTCACATCTTGTGGTTCTGGGAATTTGTTTGACTGAATATGCCATAAATTAAGATACGCGACATCAGACACTTCGGTATAACTGATGAAAGTTAATTGCTTTTAAAAGAAAAAAGGTTAAGTTTATAAATTTTCTTTAGTTTTGATATGAGTTTTTTCATAATGCATTATTTTCTCATATCCTATTAAAGAAACACATTATATTAATCGGCTGTGTTTTTCATATTTAACAGCTACATTACATAATTTGTTTAAAACTATTTTTAACATTGATTTTAATCGTTTCCTCTAATTTTACTGCACTTTTTTTATGCACATTTAATTTAAAGATATGTTAATTTCTTTGTATCTTCGAAAAGTATAGTCTTAAGTAAATTATTTAGATGTATTGAAACATTAAAGTTATGAATGATGTACAAAAGCAGGCTGATGGTGGATTGAAATTAAAATGTTTGAAATTAGATACTTTATTAGATACATTAAAACAGAAGTTGAATAAAAATAAGAGCTGTGTTACATACCTAAATATAGGAATATTTATGTGAACAATGTGCATTTATTTATCATGAAGCTATCATTCTTGTATTTCCCTAAAAAGCTGGTAAAAAACTAAGGAATGTATGGGAACTGAGGAAACTAATCTAAACTAAAAAAGTGTGTTGATAGATTGTAAGTCTTTAAATATTTTGATTTCATATAATTATAGGAAATAAACAAAAATAATGACATTCAAAATTTTTTAGCTTTTTTTCATAGCTTTCTATCTTTTTTTTTTATCTAGCTTTAGTCCATAAAGTATGCTACAAGAAATTCAACAATTTTGTAAATAATTTTTGTATTTGTGGAATTTTTTTTTAAATAATGACTGTCACTGTAATTAATAGTGCTACTTCTAAACAAACAACATTATTTACACATTTGACTTTAGATATTGGTTTAAAGAAAATATGATCAATGAATTTTGTAGCGAGCACAATTTGGACAAAATAGAGTAAAATGGCTCAATAAATATGTAAATAAATTGTTAAATTTCAAAGCATAAATAAATTTAAAAATACACTGATGTATGATCGCCTGGACTTATTATTATTTTTGACTTTGTAAAACTATCTTAGACAATACTTATCCAAGAATTTTTGGGTCAATCTGTATTTGCCATTTGATGCCCTATGTGCAAATACTACTAAAAGTAACGCATTAAAAAAATTTTTTATTCAATACAGACAATATATTCTTCTTGCTAAACATCAACAACACAACTATTATTTTTTTTAAAAATTAATGTTGTACCAAAGCATTAAAACTTTAAAAATGAAACACAAAATCTTGCTAAGTTGTTAAAAAAATAATATATGCTAATTATTTTTTCAGGATTATCTATTTAAAAAATGACATTTTAAATAAAATGCATCATTAGCACTTTATAAGTACCCATCCTACACTTGGTAAAAAAAAAAATTCACGCAAACTTGGAAATTTTTAGATTTTTACCTGGGAATTATGAGAAATTTAAAACCTGATATGAGTGGCCATCCTGGAAAAAGGAATGATATTCCATTAAAATCCAGTATTGTGTTCCATTACTCAAAAAGTACCAGAATTTAGTACTTGTGCGTTTTGGTCCCACTACACCCCAGTTTATTAGAATCGGCCTCCAATTTCTCTGAAATACAAGGATATCTAATATGTCTGGGCAACAAAAATTATTTTAGGAATTACTTCTCGAGTGTTATAAGAAGATTCTATAAAATTTTTGGGCTAAGAATCATTCAAATTTTTATAGTTTTTACCTCTGTTTTAACTTGTTAACTTTTTTTACTATTTTATTTTTAAATTTTTTAACAATAAATAATTTTATGTAAGGGATTTCAACCATTTGAAAATGAAGTTAATTTGTGGAACTAAAAGGAAAAATAAAAACAATTAAAATTTTAATTTATGGATAAGTTTGGATTAAATTCTTGCAAAATTTTGACAGTAAGTATTTCAGTCAGAAACCTAGTCAAATCTATCTAGTAATAAATTATTTGAAGTGTGCATATAATGTCTGTAACTGCTAGGGTGCCTCGTTTTAAAAAATTTTTTTAATAGAATAATGTAACACCCATCAGAAGTGGTCAATCCATATGGATATTGCAGATATATATTTTTCAAATCAAATATCTTCTCTGAATAGTTTGACTTCAAAATTTCCATTGAGAGCACCAAAATTTTTATTAATTTTTGTTAGGATAAAAAGGTCATATGACTGAGTTAGTCAATACTTCTTTCTACTTACTTAAAAACTTACTTTTATCCTTAAAAATCAAGTTAAATACCCTTAAAGGAACAAAGATGGCTATTGAAATGAAGTATAAATTTGGTCAAGATGCTGTTGTTTTTTTCTTAATTCAATGATACTTGCCAAGTGATTTAGATGGCTATAAACCTAGGACTTCTTCACCAATATAACCCATCAAACCAAACACAAAAAAGGCATGCTTAATCTCTAAATCTTCAGAATTTGAATCTCCGGATATGTGTAATATACACAAATGCCATTCCTAAAAATTTTGTCACCATTTCAGGAAATTTTTAGTATTATTCATTGTAAGCAAAAAAAGGGTCAAAATTCATTATTTTACCCCGCAATAAATAATTTTCAACATTGTTGAAAAGGTTGTAGTATTACTCATTTAAAAAAAAAAAAGCCTTAATTTCCCAATCCTAGCCTGCAGGTCAATCTTCAAGAAATTGATATGAAAATTACTTCTTTTGCTTCAGATAGCCACACTTTTTCGTGATTACGCTATCGCATTTGACTATCAGGTACGCTGGTATGTATAATAAACCATCTAGAACTATAAAAGTATTAAAACATTTTTTAAAAAATCAGTGATTTTCATAAAATTTTTGCCAAAATAGGTGATGACGACGGAATTGAAACCGAGAGTTAATTAATATTGCGATATTTAAGACTTAATTATAATTGCTGGTAGAAAGTTTTTTTAATGGAGATTTTGTGTTTACAAGAAGTTTTTCATTTTATTTAAGTCTATCTCTATTTTTGGCAGAATTGTGGGATTTTGATTGAAATGATGGTAGTGCTTGCTGAAAAAGATAAGTCAGCCTTTTGACGTCGTTTTTAGTATCACAGCAGTATACTTAAAAGACTGTTTCTGCTACTAACTTTATTGTTCCCTCTACTGCAATCCTGTAACACTGAAAGATGGTGAAAGACCATTTTTGCACAGATTTATTTATCACACACCATTTTAGATTCTCAAACTCGTCTTATCGAGCATTCAAAACCTTATTAGGCACATTTTCGTGGACAGGAGAACTAATATAAGCCATCATAGCGAAATGAACATTAACTGGGAGAGTGCATTTATCCTGAATGTAAGAATAGATTACTGTCTGATAATTCAGAGTTTTTGTTAAATATATCAATGATTTCAAATACCAGAACCAAAAATGGTGTCCTCATATAAACTGCATTGTATATAATATACTCTTATGTTTTTCATTTTATTGTAAGTCTTATTGCACTGCTCACTCTAAAAGCTTTATTACAGTGTTTTCAAAAATTTTACTGTACCTTTCCCAAAACAGTTCATATTTAATGATTAAGTTAGAATTTAAAAGTTATAATTTGGTTGAAAACCATAATTTAGAATATAATTTGAGAGCCAAAACATCTCATCTAATTGTTTCTCTTATGACTGGAAAGAATACTTTATATTGCATAAGGGTTGAAAAGCGGAAACAGTTTATTTATGTTTATATAATTCAATGAGATATTTTTTCTGACATTTTAAATTTATTTGTTTAATGAAATTGTTATGATGATTGAGGTTAAGTTTATATTTTACATTTGAAGGAATACCAAAAAGGCATTTTATTTATTATTTTTAAATCTTATTTTTGTTTGCTAGTATTTTATTTGATAAAAATTTTGTTCATTATAAAAGAAAGATTAAGTGATATCATGAATATATGATAGTATTATTTATTAATGAAATGTAAATGCATATTGTAGTTACTGGTTGTTCATGATATGATTGTTCTTACATAATTATTATTTAAATTTAATGAGTATTTCTGCCTATTTATTAAATTTTTTAATTATAAGCTTAGAGTAATTATAAAAATCTCTTTCTATTTATTTCAAAAGCAAAAAGTATAATAAAGATGAAAGATAAAATAAAGAAGTCATACATTGAAAAATGCATGTGAACCATAACATAAGCTATAAAACATTATGCACATTTCATTTCATGAATGTATATTTATAACTTAAAATTAATCATATAATACATTAAACATTTCATTTTACAAAGAATAATTTCAGTAACTTTATCATTATGCATTTAGAAACAGAAAAAATTACTCACATTCTCTTAACCATTTCTTTATTAATTCTTTTCATAATAATCAAGTAATATTTTATCAGTATATACTGTATCTTATTCTATTATTTAGTATATATAAGTATAAACTAAACTCAGCGGCGCGACAGCCCATAGAGTGCCAAGGCCTACTGTGCCCATCTCAGTTTTCTTGACCTTGGGGCTCTGGGGTGCAGGAGCAGATGTTCCGGTTAGGTGGTCAGTCGAACGCGAAACCCCCAGTGTTTAGTCCCCAAGCATGCTTGGTACTCATTTATCGACCCACTGAAGGGATGAAAGGCTGAGTCAACCTTGCCCGGCCCGAGGATCGAACCAGGGACCTGTGGCACAACAGCGCGAAGCGCTACCGCTCAGCCACCGGGCGTCTATATATAAGTATGCTTATTGAATATATTGAAGGAAATCTACTTATCTCTCTACAAAATTGTCTCTTTTCTTGGAAAAACCCAGAAAAACTCATATAGGCTGGTTTTTTTTCTTAAAAAAACAGATATTGTAAATCCTGATGTGTAGTCTCTTTATGTTTAAATAGCAAGTAAATCCCCTTAAACAAGAGCATACTTTGCCCACCCAGGTGATATTCTTCTAATGATTGATGTCCGTTACGAAAAATACTCTCAACAATAGAGGTTTCTAAAATCTTTTTATTTGATATGACATCCCACAGCTAAACTTTAAAGCAACGCAAATATTAGAAACTCTAAACAAAATATAAGGTGATATTAATGCTATAATATTTATGTTATATATTAATGTTATAACATAATGTCAAATATTAGATAAATCAAATATTTTTGAAATGTTTCAATTGGAGATCACTCAAGTGTCTATTGCTAACTCAGGAACTGCTCGGAAATGAAAATTGTATTAAACAAATAGCTCATTGACACATTTTCAATTCCTGACAATATTGTAAAAGCTAAAATAGCCTTTGCAGCAATTCATTACCACACAGGGCAAAAGTAAGACTTGAATTTCGTTATAGAAGAAGACTTTTGATTGTGACCCTAGAGATTGCATTTTATGACCAGCTTTACTTTATCGACAAGCTCTTCTAAAATTATTATTAAAATCCAAGTTTCTGAAAATTTTGCCTGAAAATGTTATTTAAATTAGTTAAGTAATTGGTTAGTGGTCGGTAGGAATAGTAAGGGATCAAGTGTAGCCACCTACGTAGATCTTGAATCACTGGATCAAGTGAGCAAGTCTGTACCCAATATGCACTCCATTTCAACTTTGCTGAGAGGATTTAAGGATTAAAAATAAGTTTTTAATGCAAAGAAAATTCCTAGCTCACTTATGTAAGTGTTTTGACCTAACTAAAATGAGAGAAAATTTAGGTGATTTTTATCAAAATTTTGAGATTATATTTTTTACAAAAAATATAATTTGATTTGGAAAAAAATATATCGATAATGCCCATGTGAATTGGCCGCTTTTGCCAGGTATTATACTTCATTCCAAAAAAAAATAATGTTTTTTTGAAAAGCGCGACACCCTAGTAACTACTAAAGTTATGAGTATCTATCAAATAAATTTTGAAGTCATAGTAAGAATAAATGTTTCATTTTGTTCTGGCATAAAGTAATGAAATTATATAGAAAACACTAGAAAACATAATACTATTGTCTCTACAGTAATATTGGGAACATTAAGAACCATTGCAAATATTTGAAAAGCTATGTGAATGTTGGTTCTAAGTGACATTTTAGTGAATTTGAATAAATTTGTTTTAAAATTTATCCATTGATAATAATAAAAAAGAAGTAAGCTTGCTTTCTTTTCGTTTCTGCAGTTTCTTATTAAAAAAATTTATAATTTGTTGTAGTGAGCAAGCTATAAAAAACTGTGGAGATGAAAGTTCCAAAAGAAATTTTAATGAATTTGAGTAGATAAGGCTTAAAGCCTAATCTACTCATATTCTGCCTTTATTTCTTGTTTGTGAGTTTCTAATTAGTATAATCTATAAATATGTATAATATGTATCAGAAGCTATGTTGATGAAAATTTTTAAGCATTGGTTTTAATCCATTTATTTTAATTTTATCATTCTGCTCTGAGATATTAGAAGTCTCTAACTAAAACTTTTTTATAAATGCAATGTTTTTTTCTAAAACGTTTTTTAATTGTTCTAAAAATACACCTTTTTATGATATCAGAAAGCTCTAAATCTATTTGTATAATAATAAGTTATATTGAAATTTAATTTGCATTAACCCTTGTTAGACTTGGGTAAAACAATTTGTTTTCCTTACTTCTTGTAAAACTTGTTCTTTTTAGATAGGACTTTCTATGTTATGGGTGCAGCACTGTAGTTGCATCGAATATTAAACAGTCGAAATTAGTGAGATAAAAATGTCTTTTACTTCGAGTGTTTGTGGTATTTTAAAAAATGGACTTTTTGTACATCAATACCTCATGAATGTACGTTTTGTTTCAATTTTAGATTTAGAATGGGTGACCGTCACAGGAAGAAAGATTTAGGACCCCCTCCAAGATGGTTGCATTGCCCAAGAAAAGGAAATCTTATAGCAGGTTCTCTATTATTAGTTTCACTTATCTTTGTTATAGTTATTGGGGTAATTCTCTACAAATAAGCTAAAATGAAGGATATTTAAGTTTTTCTATAGAAAAAAGTATATAGTTCGAGATGTCTTTATTGCATTATCTCATAAGTTTGAGGTATTTGAAAAAAAAAATTTTTTTTTATTAATTTTTAAACCTGTGAAATCTCATTCACTTATCCCCAACTCCTACCACCTATAAATACAAAAAAAAAAAAAAAAAAAATATTACCTCTGAAGTATTTTTGCTTGTCTTGTTTTATCTTTTAAAATTAACAGCTGTAGAGTTATTTTTATGTATTAAGTTAATTTTTTGATTTTTAAATGAGTTTTTATTTAGTAATAAATAAATAAAAGGGTTTGAAACTCTAAATTTATATGATTTTCTCACTCATAGCTATTCAGAATGTTTCAGATTGATGTCATTATTATTTAAATAGAAACAGTGCACATTATGAGGCTAGGCTACCGACAATGTTGACCGTCATCAATCTAAAGATACCTCCAGATAGAATCGAGTTAATATCTCTTATATACTAGTTAATTTGAATTTAATAATTGTAGTGGTAGCTGCAACTACAATACTTCCCCACCAGAATTTTATCTGGAATGGAATTTGATAAATGGATCTCACTAGTTGATTCATCGCTGTTTTGTGAGACACTGGGAAAGTTGTATTAAGATCACTGAACTTCGAGTATTGGTTGTGTGAGCTGTATTAAGATCATTGGATTTTAAGCGCTAGTCACGAGAGCAGTATTAAGGTCGAGGTTGATCGCTTGGTCTCTCCTATGTTGCTGTGAGCAGTCGAGTGTGCACAGGCCTGTGTGTGATCGAGACTGGGTTGCAACGGCGTGAGGAGGACAATGTCTCAGTGATTGATCAATTGTTTACTGTGTTTCATCCATCAAAGTAGGCGTGTTCATATCGAGGTGGGCGTTTTTATGGGGTAGGCATGTTCAAATCATGTCCGCAGATCACCGATGTAAGGCAAATGCTTATTGACGATGTCAGCCTTCATCTGTGAAAACGTACCCCGAGATAGTATCGAGTTAACATGCTTTATATGTTAGTGAATTAGAATTGAATAATTGTAGTGGTAGCTATGCTACACACATGTTCTAAAAGCATGTTCTGATAAAAGTGCGAAACGAAATTCAGTAAATTGGGAGAAATTTTTCAATGCGTAAAATGAAACTGAATAAGCATATTGGATGAATGACACTCTCATTCCTTCATTTAAATTTATAACGTTAAATTATTAATCCTCATTATTATCAGTTCCTCACTGTGGAACAATGACACTTTTGTGAGGGATGGTTTTAACAACTAGTTAAAAAAATATACATTTGTTGTTCGATTTGAAAGCAGCGAAGGTCTGTTATATACTTAAATATATTCATTAAAATTATATATTAACAACAGATTATTATTGTCATATCATTTTGTCCTTTCCTCACTTTAATAAAAACTTATGATAAATTTTGTATTTTTCAAAACATTAAGCTTGACTGCAATATTTTTCTTGTGTTGTACCTTCTTCTTTATCTTATTACAAAAAAATTAGAAATTTCTGACCCAATTTTTTTTCTTGTTGTGAGTATCTGAAAATAGCCTATTTGTATAGAGTGGTGATTTCATACATTTTGTTCGTTGCAGATAAGTTCATAGCATTTAAGACGCCTTTAGATGAATCGTATGATTCCCAAATTCCTCCTGAGTGTGTCTTCTACCCTTCAACACTTATTGCTTCTGTATCTAGTCATAAAGTAAGTGAATTTATTTTTTATTGTGTGTTAATTTTTATTTAAATGATCATTTTTTTAATTTAATATCAATATATATATATTTTAATTGATGATTAAAACTTCTAAAACGTCGATTGTCTATATTTTTCGCGAATTCTCAAAAATTTTAAGTAACTAAAAATTTGAAAATTACCTTCAAAAAATTTTTTTAAATCGAAATTCTAGATAAGTGCTGTATTTCGACATTTTTCTTGAAAAATAAACCGAAATATTTGTGGGCTAGCTTAAATAAGAAATTCAATATGTCCTACACTTATTTTAACTAAGCATAGTTTCTTTTAATTAAGTTTTTCCTTATACCAATTTTAACTGAATTTTGCCAATGGTTTATAAGCTATTAACTAGAGTTCTATAATTATCATCTTTTAACTTACTTAACATTTTGCTATAAATAATCTAAAAACATTTCTTTTTTAAAATAAATAGGTAAAACTGGGCTTATGGATTGACTTGACAAATACTACTAGATTTTATGACAAAAATGAAGTGGAAGGTCATGATATAAAATATGTAAAACTTCAATGCCGTGGGTAAGTTATCTTCCTTTAATTAATGTAAATGATTTGTTAACTTATGATTGAATGGTTTGTTATCTAACGGGCTCTTCCGTTGAGCAGTTTTTAAATCATCTCAGTTTTTAAAGGAAACAAGAGTTCAATCTTAACTCATTGTTACACATTCCAAAAATTGTTTACATAAAAATTCATTTTGTACCCATGAAAAGGGTCCATTTTGTCTTGTAAAATGTGTTTTCAATCAAATTGCCATCCACATTTTTCTTCAAGAGGCAACTTCTCAAAGATAGACAAACATAAAGTGTAAAAGAGGCATTTCTTATATTAAAAGGAGGAGAGTGAAGTTGTTGATTTAATGGTGAATGAAGGTATTGACTAAAGAGGTAACAAACAAATTTAATAATAGATAAACAATATGTTGGTACAGTATTTTTAGGGCTTCCCAATAAGTCATCCATTCCTTCCCATTGTCTGCCACCCAAGTAGTGATTACAGAATTTTTGTGAGTGATTACAACGCCCCTCTTTTAATCAGGCAGAAATTTGTAACAGAAGTCTTTAAAACCTTATGGCAAGCTTATTTTACACAAATATTATAATTTTTTGTAATAAATATGTTTCAGTTCTTTCAAAAATTTCAATTCACAAGAAAGTTATTCATGCTACATTTGTTATGATATTAAAAATTGTTCATATTTTTCATAAAAATAGTAGCAAACAAAAATTGTAGTCTGGCTACCTTGAGCTAGCATATAGCAACAAGGTTAAATAATATACAGCTATAATTATATGCCAATAACATACAGCTGTAATTATATAAAAGTCTATTTGATAGTTATGTTAATGTTCTGTACATTAATTACGCATTTTTCTTCTTGAATGCAGATCATTATTTAAGTAAATAATCTTAACAAATATTATTGCCAAGCAAGTTATCTTCACAAGTTTACATAAAATTAAAAAAAGAAACAAGACATTTTAATTTACTATTTAATTTTTATTATGATTAGAAACAAAATTTGTTAGTAAAGTGTCATATGAATCGATTACTTATGATAAGAATTTTAATATTTTTAGTTACCTGTCTTTTCAATTTAGAGTATTTTTGTTTTTTTATTACCAATTTATGTTTATTAATTAGTAAGAAATTACATTTCACCATAAACATTACTCTCACTGAATCCATTATCAAATCTATTATACATATTGAACCAATTATCCATTCTTTTTCTATTAATCAGGAAGAGAAAAGAAAAAGCTTACAAAACAATTGCCCAATTCTATACTCAGAGAAGGACTTATTTTAAATTTTGTTGCTTTTGTATATAATAAGTTTTTGTTATTATTCTATTTAAAATTTATTTTTTATTCTGTATAAACACTGTGCATAGAAAGTAGTATAGTTTTTGTTTTGCAGGCATGGGGAATGTCCATCAGTAGAACAGACTAAAACATTCATTCAAATATGTCAGAGGTTCATTGCAAATAATCCCTTAGACATTATAGGCAAGTACTAATGAATAATGCGTTTTATTTCTTTCTTAAATGTTGCTTAAGAAACATCTTGAATGTTTTCATTTTCTTTGTTAGGTGTCCATTGCACTCATGGTTTTAATCGCAGCGGATTCCTTATTATATCGTACTTAATTGAAAATCTATCATGGGGGTAATATATTTTCTATATTATATTTTTAAATAAATTGTGTTGTAATAATATTTTAGCAATATCAAAAACTTTCTTCTGGCTGTAATCATTGGAGAAAAAAAACTAAGTTATGTAGCTTAGAATAAATTATAAATTCTTCATTCTTGAATTGAAAATCACAGAGTTAAAAAATAGTGACTTACATTCTTATAGTTAAGACGTAAACAGATTTATATTTTCATGAAATATGTTTGCTATGCTATTACATAATATAAATTGGTCAACCTATTGCTAGCATTTGTTGTTCAGTAATTGCTTAACATCGCTCCCGTAGAATACGAAGATATCTTGTAAGATACTGGTTTTTTGTTCTATGGAATATTTACAGTATAAAGTTGACCGCTCCAATTTAGGAAATGCTCTCTCGTTTAATTTGTTTTGATTTTGTATTAAACTATGAATTTTATCATTTCATAAATGGAATATTCTTGTTATCATTTAATTTTTTTAATTTTTTTGAAATTAAAATAATGTTTGTTGCATTTCAGTATTGATGCTGCAGTTATTGCTTTCAGTCAAGTGAGTATTTTTTTAAAAATATTTGTTATCTCTATTTGAAGATTTTTGCATGAAAATTGGGCTTATAACTTTCAGTAAAAACCTTAATTGCCAGAGCGTGAACTCAGAAAACAATTTTCACTAAAATCCTTCTATTTATGCGAAACTGAGAATATATTTCTGCTTGCAGCAATCATGAATTGCAGTATAAAGTCCCATATTAGTACATCTGTTTACTGGAAGGATATCTTTTCCGGACATTTTTGTAGCATTAAAAATAAATAAAACTCTTTTCCCTTTTCAAAATAGAAAAATAAATAAATAAATTTTTTTTTACACTTGTAATTTGTTAGAAAAACATGCAGGAATGGGAATCCTACTCTTTTCTGCTTCTTTACGATTTTCAGACTTTTCTATTTTAATCCGATTTCCGCTACAATATGAAAAGAAATTGGCTATCACGGAAATGAAATTCGGTATTTCACTACAGTGCGAAAAAATGCTTACTTTTACTTCACAAGTGCTTACTTTTTTCTCACATCTCTCATAAAAGTATCATTACCGGCAAGAATCACGCACTTTAACTGCAAAGTGCACAAGAAATTCACATTTCGAAGAAATTGCAGATTTCAGATAAAACCGTCACGACTAAAGCAGGTCATTAAGTGTTTATTCAAAAGTTCTGTTTGGAATTCGTGGAATGTAATAATATTAGATTAAAAATGAAATTGAAATTTTAAAGCTACGTGGAAATCCCAAGCTGATGCAAATGCAATCGACAAAACCATGGGGACAATGAGATAGTCACAAATTGAGTGCATAGAAAGTAATTTTCCAAATATGTGATCTGAAATTTCCCATGCATGATAATGTAGCATTGAAAAACTATGAAAATCAGTAGTAATAATTTATAAAAATGCGATCATAAATTTACGTGGGATTGCGGGTGAATCATCAATGATTGAGTGCAAAACATGAGATTTGAAGTTTGGCTAGCAAAATAATGCTGTATTAAAAGATTGAGATTTTGAAAATCAAGTGAAATTTTGTTTTAATGAGTACCGAAAAAAGATCCGCAAAACGACTTGGTTTCAGAGTGGAATTGCCGCGAACCGAGTGAGTTGAGAAATGATTATTAACTGAAATGTTTGATGAAATTTATGAATGAATTAATTAATTATGAATGAATGTTACAATGGCATATTAAAATATCGAGATTTTAAAAAAAAAGACATTTGGAAATCTGTAACAAAAACTACAAAAATAATTCAACACCAGAAACCTTGTTGATTGGAATTGACGTTAATTATCGTATATTTGTTATTTTTTATTGAATAAGGATGTTTTGATATTAGTTTACCTTAAAGACCTATTATCCGGAAAAACCTATTTTCTGCTCTTTATCTATTTTCTGCAAAGTCAAGAGAATTCAGGGTATAAGACTTTCCTTTGTATTTTGTTTTGCATTGTCATGTTTCGGAGAAAGATTACGAAAACGTTTTTGAAATAATGCTAGATTCATTTTCATGTTATCAATAATCTGTGAATGTATTTATAGTTAAAAAAGTCTTAGAAAATGTGCATGCCATTGTGCAGACGGAATTCGGTGTGGTTGGTAGTTGTAAGATATAATTGACCAATTGAAGATTGTGATAAGAATAGGATAATGAAAATAACAGTTGAAGATGAAAACCGGATCACAATAAAATAAAACTTTTATTTAATATTTGTAGTGCTTGAGATACAAATTATATTTTATCAATAAGACTTCCAGTTAAATAAATTTTGCATAATAATATTAATAAGGACAGGCCATGGGAGACAAATCCCCCTTGACCTGCCTATTCAAAAGCCAAATTAAAAAGTAATTGAATTGTTCCCAACAGACCGTAAAATCATGAGAATCCAAAATTGGTGATTTATCGAAAAATAACATAGCCAAAAATGTAGTCACTCTCCCCCCCATAATCAATGTTAGGTTTGAAAAATACCTTGGCGATCGCGAATTGCCAACAAAACTGTGAGAATTATTATAACCATGTAACAGAAACATATTTGTGGTAAGAAATTTAAGAATAAAGAGTTATAAATAGATTTTCGTTTTCGATTTGGTCGAGACAGTGAATTAATGACTCTACATTAGTGAGTAAAAAGTTAGCCATTACCTTGATCGATAAGAAAAGAATAAAATATTTTATGCTCGCTTTTACAAAGATTAACTTATTGATTTAATTTAAATATAATTTGATTAATATGATTAGAAAAATAAGTTTAAAAATATATTTTAAAAGGAAAGAAATATGTAATACCAATTGTGGCATCACAGACATTTATTGTAGTTATTGTTGTAAAATAATAATAATAGTAAATAATAAGTTTTACATTTTATATTTACTGCAATTTTTAATAACAATTAAAGTATTTTAAAATTATATTTTGCTTCTCTAAATCAATTTATTGCAGTTTTAAAATATTCTGTGATAGAATAAAGCTTGTAAACTATGCTGCCCTTTAAGGAAATCTTTAAAATATGAAATATTATTTAAAATTTTTGTTTTGTTGCAATAGATTTATGGTAATATTACTAATTTTGGTTCCAGCCATAGATTTGTTGAAAGCCTCAGAAAATATCTTGATTTTTTTTAGAACTTTGTTTTCTGTTACATCATATTGCAGTTGACACCATATTCTTAAACTCATGTGATTTTATTGAAAATTGTCTTTCCATGAAACTTCTGTGATAAGTTTCATGGATATTATTTGAGTTGCAATATTTAATCCATTTAATTATATACTTAAGAATGTATTAATATAATTTTAAAAAATGCAATGAATTGTGTGAATTCTATTTATCAGGGCTGATTGTGCTCCGGAAAAAATACATATTTTTTGCTAACAGTGATCCGGAAGTTTCCGGAAATCAAAGACCCAGATGTTTAAAAAAATCATTGATTACAGAAGTTTCCGGAAATCAAATTTTCAAAGGTGGAACTTAAAAACACAGTTTATTTTATTTGTTTATAAAGGAGAGCCAGAGAGATACTTTATAAGCTTATATTCATGATTAATATTCATTTTTTATCAGTAAATAGTTGTTATAATCATAAACTCAAAAATGAAAGACATATTTGTAAATTTTAATTACTTCTCCAGGTCATCATAAGCATGTGTAAATGGTATAGGCATGTGTAAAATTTTAAATATATTTTAAGTAAACTAAGAAATATTGAGAAAAAGGAAAAAAACCTTGTTTAAATTTTTTTCTAATTTTTCAATTTAAACTGTTTTTTTTGTTGTTTTTTTAACTCAAGAACTTTTCCGGAATTTTGACTTGGGCTCGCAATCACCCCTGATTTATATTCTATTAATATTAAAATTAAATATCGCCCAAAATATTGATAAATATTAAATCTTATTTTTATTTTATTTACTTTTGTTTGTAGTAAGTTCACAAGATATATTATTTTGAGTTGTATTCAATTGTTAAAATTATTTTCAGATTTATAGATTTTATACATTTTAATAAACTATTTATTAAATATATTTTGGGACAGTTTTCGATTTAATGATTCTTTTAAATAATAATTTTATCATTTGTTTTGCAGTTAATATTGTTTAATTTGTAATTTTGAAAACACATTCTGAAATCTTATGTTACCATGCAAAGTTCGGCTTTTTTCACGAAACTACTGTGATAGGTCTGAAATATTGAATTTATATAATTATTGAAAACAGTTAATTATCTTTTGCTTAACCACCTACTAGGCTCGCACTCCAGGCATTTACAAAGCTGACTATTTAAAGGAATTGTACAGAAGATATGATGATGTAAGTTCTGTGATAAGTGCCCCTCCTCTTCCAGAATGGTGCAATGGTAAGGAATGCTCATTGAGACTGTAACATAGTTATTCTTATAACAAATGTATTAAAAACAAATGATTCATTATAGAGGAAGATAATATCGAAGATGATGGCAGCCTTGTCACTGAAGATGATAACAATGATACGAGGCCTGCTAAAAGGAGAAAAGAGTTTCATCGAAAGGTAAATTAAAGGGTTCATTTTGATCTTTTGCTCATCAACTTGTGAGCCATCTGGAAATTTTACAGTTCATGAGGGGCGAAAACCCATGCAGGGTATCTGCGCACCTGAAAAGTCATGAAAGCCATGAATTTCGGTATTGAACAAAATTTGTGATGAAATGTCATGATTTAAACTATTCGTTTTAAAAAAATCATGGAAAGTCATGGATTTAGGTCAACGAAAAATCTCATTTTTAAAATGGAATTCCCCCTCCCCAAATTTCATGGGGTTCCGAATATCTGAATTTGTAACAAAATTTTATTAAAATATAAAAATTTTTTATCATGTTCTTTAAAAATTATGCTGTTCTTTCTACGAATGAAAGAAAAAACATTATTTCTAGAGCAAATTATCTTTTAAACTTCTGTGATTTCAGAATTTTTATAATTATTTATTTTTTCAATTATTTATTATTTTTTTTTATCATTCTAGCTGATGTAAGCCAGTCATTGGCGAATTTTTTTTATTTCAAAATGAGAGCAGAAAAATTAGGAATGTTTCTTTCCTTTCTGATGAACAAAAAAAGTATCTTTAGAATATAATTTTGCAGGAAAAAAAAGAAGAAAAATTATTTGCTTTTGTATTTTTTTCAGCTATTTTATTGCTTCAACTCTATCTTTACTCTGTTTTTTAAATTTAAATTCTATAAATATGAAGATGCAGAGTATAACAGTTTTGGTTTTACATATCATTTCAATTAATGTTATAATGCTTTTTTAAATTTATTGTTGTGTTTTTGTCAGAAAAAATTGTAACTTCGTTAAGTAATGAAAAATTCTTGGAATTCGTCATGAATTTGAAAATCTAAAATGTAGTAGATACCCTGCCCATACCTAGGGGGACATATGTCTTACATGGCACTAAGGCATTTCTGTATTTAATTTGGCAACACTTAGGTCTATTTTGGATGAATTATTGTTTTGAAAATATGTAAACACACTACATGCTAAAATCACAACTAATTTATTAGAAACTTTGGTGCATCTGAAAATTAATTTTTTTAAAAATAATTTTTTTCTGTCTTTTTATATTTTTTCTTTTGTATACTTTTTTTTTTATTCTGTTAACCTTTTTAATTCTGAAAAACAATTTTTTTCCCTGTCATTTAGATATTTTTGAAACCAAATAGATAGATAAATATGTCAAGACTAGATTGTGATTGTATTAAAAAATTTTAATTCTATTAAGATTTTAGATTTACCAGCATGGATTTATATAGATTTGTGAAATTTATGAATTATAGTTGCAATGTTATGAAAGAAATTTCTACAATCCTCAATACTTATTTTGTTGTGTAAATTAAATTTAAACTTTACAACAAAAAAACTTTTTTTTTTTGATTTATAAATTACTTTAAAAATAATTTGATTAATATATTTATACATTTTGTCTATATCTTTTTGAAAAAAGATATTTAAATATTTTAACTTATTTATATGAGATTCTTATATTGCTCTGCATTCTGTAAGATTTATTGTTTTTGACTTTTGTATTAATTCAGGGTTTGCCAGAATTCATAGAAATTTGTTCAATGTTATTAGTTGAAGTTAATAATCCAGTAGAGCTGTATTTGTTATTTTATTTTATTTTTTATTAGTTATTAAAATGTCATATTAACAAAATTCTAAATGCATTGAAGTGCCACAAATCAATTAGTTTGTGAGTGGTACAAAGCTAGTAACTGAATAATTTTGTTGAATTGTTTAATAAAATACTTTTATTTTAATTCTCAGATAAAAATAATATTAATTTTATTAATTCGACAATATTATTTTAATTGTTAAATGTTGAAATAATTTTTACTAACATTAATTTTACATTTAGATAAATTTTATTTTATGAAATACATTAACTAATAAGAAACTTAACGCATTATTTTACATGCTGCTTTTTATTGGAATTTTTAATTATCTTAGGATGTAGATGAAAACAATTTCAACGGGAAAGTAAGTTTAATGTGTAATAATTTCAAAAAATTGTAGTAGAAAAAAATGATTTTTTTTTATTGTTACAATATTAGTTTCGTTCTTTCCTTGCTAATATGCTATACATAAACTATTTTAATTTTTTTTATAAAAACTACATAATAATAGCAAAAGTATGTAGCTTATAATTAACAAGTGTAAAACTGCCACTAAAAACTAGAACATAAGTATAAAAGTACTTTTATTTAAACTTGTCAATTTGTGTATGAATGTGTGTCTACATATATATGTATATTAATCCCGACCACTTGTCACAAATATATTGTCACTGGTTGCTCCATATTTTAGTTAAATTTAACAAAAAAGCAAAGAGCTGTTATGCTTCCTTCCATTCTGTGACATGCTAGCTCCTAAAATAAGGTCCTCCCTTTAAATTTTGAATTTTTATAGACAACCGTATATATAAGCCATCTAAATATTAACAATCTACAATTGTTGCAGTTCGTCCTCCCAACTTTATTTGTATGAGAATATTAAAATCTTAAGTTAAATGTAAAGCTTTTTTGCAATTTTAAGTAGAAACAAAGGAATAGAAATGTGTTCATTTAAGTAGCCTTTTCCCTCACTACTGAATTCAATCAAATGCTTTTATATTTGATATTTTTCTCAAATTAATTTATGGTTTTTATTTTTTCTACTTGGTATCATTTTTATAAACAAGAAATACAAAGACCTATCAAAACTGTAGTGTGGTATTTTAGAAGTTTAAATTATTGTTTATGCCAAAGCTATACAATTCTGAAACCAGCATTTCTTGAAAAGTAGTTAAGTTTTATACCTTAGTCTGTCTTTAGATTTTTTTTAAAAAATATTTTTGTTTTTGTCTAATTTCTGTTGAAAGATTTTTTTAACATCACTGAAATTGATTTTTTAGTCAGTTGGAAGTAGGACATTATTAATTCTCTGAACACATGTTTACTTCCCACCTTTTTTTCTGTTGAATAAAACACTTATAATCAAAAACATTTTGAAGAAAAATTTAAAAGAAATATTTTAATTGTAATACTTGAGATAGACAGGTGGTCTTTTCTTAAATGAATTAGTTTTTACTTACTTTGCTGTTCTATTGTTTTAGAATCCTGTATTCATGGAAGGTGTGCCTGGTGTCTCCCCTGTCACTGATTCCTATGAAATAAGTGTCATTCAAGCCAAATGCCAAGATATGTGCGGATGGCAAAAGTAATTATTTTGCCTTTTCTGATAATTCATGGATGGGTCAAAACATTATGTGATTAAGTTGGAACTGCCTGGAGATGTTAACTTGCCTATTGACTGGCACACAAATTCTCATTCATTAACAATTCTTTGACTGTCATAAGCAAATCTTGGAGAAGTTAAGGAATCATACTTGCCTATTAAGTGACGTAACCAAATCAGATATTCTCATTCATTAACGAGTCATAAACAAATCTTTCAACATTTATTAACTGCTGATATAGTGTTTATGGTATGTAAGTCAGGGGTGTATTCTGGACTTTTCCTATCATCTTTCCGGGTCTAAAAACTGGGAGTGAGAAATGTGATTTTTCCACCAATTTTACGAAATTCCGCGAATCAAAGCCTTATAATTCGGCTAAATTTTTTGCGATATTGTTTAAATTTTGAAACTTTTGCTTAATTCCTTTGATGAGACATTTGCATGCATGTTATTCTTATTCCATTTCGATTCTTTTGATTTGGCAGATATTTGAAACTGTGCAGAAATCTGTTTATGTTGCAATTCATATTCAAGCAATTTTAAAATCAAACATATTCACGTGGTTTAAAAATCCAATATTGTGATTTGTATTCTCTAGTTTTAATGCATATTCATGCATTTTTAAAGTCCAATATTGCAAGTCGTATTCACACATTTGTAGCATCAAACATATATTTTTGTATTTATATGTGATTCAAAATTTGAACATTCCGATTTGTATTCGTGCAATTTAAAAATCCGACATTGCGATTTGCATTTTTAAATTTTAAAATTTCGTGATTCATATTCGTGTGATTTTAAAATCTAAAATCATGATTTTTGTATGAACTAATCTCTTGCATAAAAAATTAGTTACTATAAAAGTGTAATATTCTTCATTGGCAGGTAATTTAATCATAAATCTTAGTTTAATAAATAATAATAATCATGTAGGTTATGTAAATCAATATATTGATATCAACTTTTTGCACATAAAAGTCTCAGGATTTTTCACTTTGTTTCAAGTTTGTTTGTAAGTCATACATCTTGTTTATATAATTTAAATAGATAAAATAAATTTTATTTATTCAATCATTAATAGGTAGTTAAAATGAAGCTAAATTACCTGCCAATGAAGAATATTATATTGAGCTGATTGGTTCTATTGAAAGAATTCAAACGAAATTTCAAATAGTAAGATAGTGGGATCAAGATTTTAGTAAAAAAATGGTTCAAAAGTTTCTGAACGGGTGGTGCTACAACAGAATAAGAAGCAAGAAAACGCTTAAAAAATGCAAAGATTAAGATGGTATTTTATTTAGTTAATACCTGTCTGCACCCTGTTAATACTTCATTGATCAACAATATATCATTTATGGGCAAAATTTTCAGTAATTGATTTATCATGTTATTTACAAATCTGGGTTTGTTATATAGAATGCATCATATGAATCTTTCTATATCAAGTCATAGTTTAAAGTAGATATCTCTTGTTAATTCCAAGACACAGAAAATCGTTCTCTCACAAAGAGTAAAAATTAACAGATTATTTGTGAGATCATTCACATTTGAAACCATTAAGAAATTATTAAAAATTTTTCTGGAGTATACAATGCATCGTCCTTTGAACAAATCAAGATGTTTAAATTTTCCGTATTGAATGATGTTCAATTATGTATGTTAAAAACTTGCAACTGATTCCCTTTTAATTTGAAACGAAACATTTGTACATTTTTCTGAAACTTTTTATTAAAATAACTCATTTTTTTAACTAAACATTAATCATTTTTTTGGCAATATAATTATTGTGGAATACTGGGCTGGTTTGTAAAAAGTAATTTAGCAGAAATTTCTTTTACAATTAGGGTAAAAAATCTCTGGAATTTAAATAAAATATGCATTCAAAGTTTTGTTTTTGAAAAAAAATTAAGAAAAGGAAACAATTTTCTGTAATAAAAAATATTCATGTGAACTTGTACAAATATGATATTAAAAAAATCAGCATCTTTTTGAAAACATTCAAATTACTCTGAAATAAATTTTTTACCTTTATTTTATGGGTGAACTTAATTTTTTTTAAATTGTATATTATTATAAGCTTGACAATCTCATCTTTAGCAAAATTTTGTCCTTTCTAATCTAGTAGTTTTTTAGCAAAAAAATTCCAAATGCCTCTTTTTATTTTAGAGCAATACTGTATTTTTTTATTTTCAATAAAATAATCATTTTAGAAGAAGTTTTTTCTCTCCATGTACTTCAATGTTCATAATTAATGTCATTTGAATTGAAAAAAACCATACATATTTTTTAGCTTACTTTTTTTGCTGTGTTAATGTGTAATTTGATTTTAGATCTGGATTTCCTGGATTGCAGCCTGTATCAATGGATGTTAATAATATAAAGTTTCTTACACTGAAGCCATACAAAGTTAGCTGGAAAGCAGATGGCAATAGGTATAAAAAGATTTAATACTTCTGCATCTCTAAAATTGAAGTTTACCTCTATCAGATTCTTGAACTCTAATATGCTTAGTTATACACTATAACTCAATTTTATGACTGTCTGCATTTAACCAGTGAAATGGGATATTTTGTTTGATACAGAGCTATAAATGTCTTCGATTATGCCATTTTAGGGAACTATTTTTCACTTTATCTTGGATTTAATGAGCAAAATAATTTTGGAAGCAGTGAATAGTGTCAGAAATGAGCAGAAAAAAAATAGCAGAGTACATTATAAGTAGTCAGAAATTGTCTAAGGTTTTTTATACATAACTATTTCGTAATATGTTTCAGTGTCATTCAGAAATACTAGTTGAAATGTTTTTCAGCTACCACCTCCAAAAAAAAAAAGAAAAACGATAGACCAGTTGGTCTGCACATTGTCCATTGTCATGTTTCCAGAAGATTAGGAAAGAAATTTTTATGGGGTTTGTGTATCATCATTGAAGTATCTAAGCGTTTGCAGAGGCATTTTTGGTTTTAGAGTCATATGTAAATAAAAAAATAATAAAGGAAGTTCATTTAACATTCATATCTTTTTTTGAAAGTGAGCTTTATATTCAGCTGTTTAAATGTTTTGTCGAAAAGAAAAGTTTTATCCATAAAAAGAAAAAGTCGAACAATTAACCTCTTACATAAGGGTGAAAAAATTGCTGCAATACATAATCAAAATATGTTAGATGACTGTCATGATACCTTTTTTTGAAAGTGCGCTTTATATTTAGCTATTTAAAATTTTTATTCAAAAAGAGAAAGTCAAACTATAAGACTCTTAGACAGGGTTTGCCAAGTGGGCCCACTTTGAAAAAACCCGCCCGGGTTTTATTGGGTGGGCCCACCTTGANAGTTAGAAACTGTGATTTAGTAGAGCATTTACCGCCTATTAAAATATGTTAGATGAAACAACTTTATGAGCTATTTTTCTTTTCCTGATTTGCTTGCATTTTAACACTCGGTACAATTTTAAAGTATTGGCTAATATTGGTATATAAAAAAAATTTATAAAAATGAATATAAAAAATTAAAAAAAAACCTATGTGCAATGCTCAATACAATAATCGTGAGTGTTTAGATAAATCAGATGATTAATACAGTTATCGAGCCCACTATTAGCAAATATTTTTAGAGAAAAGAAAATATTTTTAGAGTTTCCGGGAAAAATCTTATTTTAAATATATATCAAAGTGAAAAATATGTTAAATATTGTAAAAGTGTATAAATGTTTCTTGTTGTTAACTTAAAATTTACTAAGATCTTGGAAATTAACATTTTGGTCTTTTTTCAAAATAGTCCCAAATTCTTAAAAAAATCATCCAAGATGATGATGTATGATGTTTTGTCAAAATGGAAATTTGATCATTTCCAGGGAGAAGTGCAGGGTGGCCACCCACCTGGAAAACCTTGAAAACCTGGAATTATCAGGGAATTTTTTTTATACTGGAAAAAACCTGGAAATATCAGGGAAATTTGGATAAAAACCTGGAAAAATCAGGGAATTTTAAAGAAAAGCTGGAAATTTTTTCTTTGATCATTTTTTTTAATTTCACCAATTTAAATTATTTACTAATTTTCTTAATTTAAATTATTTCATCCATTATACCCACCTTTTTTTAAATGGAAATGTATCTCCAAACAGTTGAAATATCATCAACTTAGTGATACTTTGCTTGCATCAAAATTTGCTCCATTACAGCTCTGTTAAACTAGAATGCCACATAAAATTCTGCCACGGTTACTAAACGAATGTAGAAACCTTTGACCGCTATGGGACTGTGCGATTTAGGAAGGATTCTGGTGGAGGTAGAAAAAGGGATTAGGAAATTTGCTTCTGTTTTTAAATTCTGTACTTGGGCTGAATCCATTTATGGCTCAAGTTTGTTCCGATGCTTTGGTGGTAATTTNAATTATTACAAATTATTGATATATAATCACCTGAAACTTTTCCTTAATGAAAATATATTAAACAATACTTATCCAAGGTTTTATTGGTTATTCTGATTTTGTCATTTTGTAGGTACACTTTGAGCAAATACTACTTAAAATAACACATTAAATTCAATAAAAACATTTAAAATTATTCAATAAAAACAATATATTCTGCAAGCTAAACATATTATTTTCTCCACGTCTTAATTTTTTAAAAATTAATGTTGTACCAGAACATTAAAAAATAATAAAAAAATATCTTGTACAAAAAAAAATTTTTTTTTTCAAGATATGTTTAAAAAAATGACATTTTGAATAGGATATTTTATAATACAGACACTTTTCTTGTACACATCCTACACTTTATAAGAAAAAAGGAAAAAACACAAACCTGGAAATTTTAAGATTTTTACCTGGAAAACTTGGAAAAATCAGGGAAATTTGAAATCTGATTTGAGTGGCCACCCTGAAGTGTTATGCTCTCTTTATTTCCAGATAGGTCTTTGACTCCAAGGCCCCATCCTCTTATTTTCTGATACTCGAACGTGTGGAGGGATACACTAAAAAACTAGATATGATTCCTTATGAAAATTCATATTATGGCAATCTATGTTTATGAGAAGTGTATCATAATTGACAAAAAAATTTTTACTGACTGAGATTGTTGCTTGAGAAGCAATGCAAAAAATTACTTTGGAGGGGTTAGTTATCGGGAGATATTTTAGTACTTTTTTTTTTCCTGATTTCTTCAGTTCTATTATAATGTCACCACTGCCTGATGACCCGTCCTCAAACAGAAATTCTATCTGTAAACGTTTTCTGAATCATTGTTTGCAGCAATCATTTAAGTGGCTACAGATTTCAGCAGTTCTGGTAAATCATGCTTTTGTCGTAAGCTGAGTTTGAATTTCGTGAGGAGGACGCTTGTGATGTTGATTTCTGGGAATATGGGTGAATTCATTTGATAAAGTGAGGTGAAGAAGGGATAATTGTTTTAATCGTTCATATGACTCACCAGACATGAATCAGCTTGATATTTTTTATCTTAAATTGGTAAAAGGATATTACTTTTTGGACCCACTGGAACAAAAAAGCGGGGAAGGTCGTGGTCGAGATGGGCTAATTCGGTGGAGTCTGATTTTTTTACAATGACTGAAAAGAATTGGAGATCAAAGATGAATCAGAAGTCATTATGGAGAAATTTTCAGAGGAAGGCATTGGCCCACATTGTGGCTGTCTGGCTAACTAGATGATGATGAGTTAATATCTAACCCTTACAATTTTGTAAGCTTAGTCTTAAAAGCATATGGGTCCAACTGTTTATTATATTTAAACATATTTATAAATTATGTAACCAACATTTCTGATAAGCAAAATAACATTTAGATTCTGACTTTTTTGTAAAAGTTTTTATAAATTTATAATTTTTTTTTTCCATCCATAAACATTCAAGTCACTGTACACACTGATTAAACTGTAGTGAACTTTGATTTATTTATCAAAAATAAAAACTTCTGATTAAAGGCATTAATTTTTATTAAAGAAGTTAATGTTAATAAAAAGTATGAACTGTTTTTATCTAATTCCTCTTTTAATTGTAAGTTTGAATCATAAGAAGTTTTGTTTCTGTGTAAGATAGTGAATTAAAAAAAAAGAAGAAAAAAAATTTTTTGGTCATATTTTATTTATTAAAAACTTAATCCTTTTGTTCTGTAGAATTAATTTTTTACCATCAGACGATTAGATGTTAAGGAAAATGTCCTTAAGTAGTATATTAAGTAAATATTTTTTTTAATTTTTATTAGATTTGTATTCAACAAAATTTTATTTTCCGCAGGCATCTTTTTATAAATAACATGCTTTAGGAAATAAAACTTATTTTCACTTTTACAATTTTTAGTGAAAATGTATTTGCAAGTAATTATTTTGCACTAAAATCTTTTTTTTTTTTAATCTTAATTTTACATTTTAAAGAATATTAAAAAAAATTAATTCTCAAAAAAAAAAAAAATCTCATTGGAATTTTTTTGTCTTATCACATTGTATCAATGGATTAAAAATTATTTCAGTTAGAAACTGTGATTTAGTAGAGCATTTACCGCCCATTTTTGGAGCAGGGTATAGTTGTAAACTGTGGACAGGAGAAATATCTCTTTCCCTTTTAGAAAAAAAATTATTTTTATAAAATATTTTCAAGAATGATAATATACTCAACTCATTTTTATAAAACTTTTCACCAAGTTATGTTATGGAGGATCTTAACCACTGGTATCCATTGAATCTTAATTGTGACACTTTCTTATTTGTGATAAATTTAAATGCATATAATTTTGTATTCCTTCGAATTTAGATACATGATGCTCATTGATGGAGAAAATAAAGTCTATTTTATTGATAGAGATAATTCAGTTTTTAAAGTGGATGGTCTTTGGTTTCCTAAGCGTAAAGAACCACACAAGCATTTAGAGAATACACTTGTAGATGGAGTAAGTTTATTTTACATTTTAATATATATGTTGTTTTAAATGAAAATTTGATTTCTTTTTATTATTTGGATTTACATAGTTTTCTTAGTGCTAGTTCAAAAAGTCACATTTTTGACATCCCATTGCATCAGGTAAACTACCCTTTGATACACTTGTATCTTAAAAATTTTTTTTTTTGCAATGTATTCAATATCTTGTAATGTGTTTAATTTTATATTACTTCTACAAACAATCATCCATTATTTTAAAAAGATGTGGCAAATAATTATTTAATTTTAAAATGAGATTTCGTATTAGTGATCACTATTAATCCACAATGGATTTCATATAGGCATAACATACCTGCCTAGTCTCCTGTTTTTTAATAAAGACTCATGTAATTTACGACTATCAACTGTTTACCGTATATTTCCAAAACTCTCCTTATTTCTTGAAGAAATTTAAAAATTTTTTTTGGGGGGGTGATAAAATATTCACAGGTGGTGCTATTGCCAGTACTGCAGTATGTTGAGTGTTAATAATTTAGGTTGAGCCATGATGGCTCAGGAGATAGAGCATTCGCCTTCCAACGAGGTGTACAGGGTTTGAATTCTATCGATACGAATTCCGCATCCGGCTTGCACCGAGCGCAGTGCTAACGTAAAATATCTTCAGTGAGAGACAGATCTCGGGTTAGAGTCCCCTTGCTGTCAGGCTGACCTTTGGAGATTTTCGTGGTTCTCCTCTCCATGTAACGCAAATGTTGATTAGTTCCATCAAAAAGTCCTCCACGAAGACAAATTTCTCCCACTACTTAATCCAGGAGTTCCTTTGTCTTCTGGATTGGATACAATGTTACGGAGTTGAACATTAGTAGTTGTAAACTCAAAATTGTGCAAGCTGTTCAGAAATTGATTAAGTAATTATAAATAATGGTTTAAAAAAAATCTTCTTTAGATTAAGAATTATATACATATTTTTTACCTCACTAAATGTAAGGGCTCATATTATTTCTAATTTTGAATTTCTCTTTTTGACTTACATGACTATGTATGATAAATCAAAACTTTATTCGTAGCCTAAAAAATGTTGCTAGTAAAATCTCCATTATTTTATTTCTCCTGGTATGGAATAACCTATTGATTCAATTGTATTATGTCTTTTACATATTTTTGACGCCCGATGGCTGGTACCACAGGTCCTTGGTTCGATCATCAGGTCAGGCAAGGTGAACTCAGCCGTTCATCCTTTCAGTGGGTCAATAAAATGCCAAGCATGCTTTGGCACTAAACTCTGGGGTTCCGTATTCGGCTGACCACCCAACCATAACATCTGCTCTTGTACCCCAGAGCACAGAGTCACAAAAACTGAGATGGGCACAATAGGCCTTGGCCCTTTATGGGCTGTCACGCTGCTGAGTTTAGTTTTAATAATTGTTTTTCATAAATTGCAGTCAGATTGAGTATTGATCTTAATTTTAATGCTATTTATTCATGTCAATTATAACTTTTTTAAAAATATTTCCTGTAAATGATTTTTATTTTAATCAAAACCAATTACACTTGAAAATAGTTTCATGTTTTAAATTTTGTACACCTAGAAACCTTATTTTATAAATTTTTTTCCCATAGAATTTTTTTAGAGATTTTAGGTCAAATTGGCTGGATTTTTTTTTCACTAATAGAAATTACCTCTTTTAGGTTAATACATTTCTCATTAACCCTTGATTTTGCTAAATAATTTTGGTTACCCAAAATGTTTCTCCCTAATTTCTGAAGAGTTTAACGTGATTTTTTATACATCAAGTCTTTAAGACTATTAAATAATTTTATGAATCTTTTCTTACGACCCTAATAAGAATGAAATCGCCTGACATACTTAAAAGAATCATTCATTCCTGAAAAAGTTGATATGTAGGGTGCACAGAAGAGAATAACAGCCCATAACATTTGGAAGCTAATTTAATGAATCCAGAAGAAATTGATCGGTTGCAGTTACAGTAGACAGTATTTGTGTAGTGCATGGAGATTAAAGCAATCAGAAGCATTCAAAAAATTTATAGCTTGGGAGATGTATCAGATGAGGAAGATATGAAACAAAAAAATTTTAGTTAAAAACAAGGGGCACCAACTATTGTAATTTATCCTTAATTGTTATGCTTGCACAGTCAAGATTACTGTTTTATGCTTGAGTTATACACAATATGGTTTTTGAAAATTTCTGTAATATACTGTCTAAAATAAGTTTTTTCCCCCTTGACTGCCACCAATTATGAAATTTTGTTTGCAACTAGACTAATATTTTGTTCTACTCCTTAAACAATTATAAAAACAATAAGAGAAAAAAATCTCATCCTTCCCTTTTTCAAGCTATTTGGAAACTTTAACTTCTCTCCTTATAGAAGATAAATTTGAAATGTTGTGAGTAAAACTTTTTTGTTGTTCAAATGCAAGGTGATAAAAAGACTATTTCTTATTTAACCAATTAGAGCACTAAGTAATCAATTTAATTTCTTAATAAAGTATAAAATTTCAGTGTTGTATAACTTTTTAGTATTTTTATCTAAGTTTTACTTTTTTTATAGTAAATTCATTCACAATTTTATTAATATTATATATCTATTTAGAATTAAGTAGTATATAACAGTTGGGCTGAAAAGTTTGTAGGCTGACACATAGATGGCGCTACTATTATTAAACCCATATGATTTTTAGTTAGTTCTAGCCTTCGAAAGACACGTGTATAAATTTGACAGCTGTCGGACTATTAGTTTGAGAGATATAGTATTTTTAGTGAAGCAACTTTTGTTAGTTTAAAAACAATTGATAATAAGTAATTTTGTGTGTTGATAAAGCATTGCTTTTTAGCAAAAAAAGTACTGTTGAAGCCAGGGCTTGACTTGATAAACATTATTCGGACTCTGCACCAAGAAATCAACCGTTGAGAAGTGGTTTGCTAAGTTAAAACGAGGCGAAATGAACACCGACGACGATGCACGCACTGGAAGCCCCAAAGAGGCTGTTACCGATGAAAACATCAAAAAAGTCCGCAAAATAATTTTAGATTACAGTAAAGTGAAGTTGATCGAGATATCTGAGACTCTAAAGATATAAAAGGAATGTGTTGGACCTATCGTGAATGAATATTTGGCTATGCGAAAGCTCTATGCAAAGTGGGTGCCGCATGAGCTCACAATCGACCAAAAACAACAACGGATTGGTGATTCTGCGCTGTGTTTGAAGCTGTGTAATCTTAATAAACCCGCATTCAATATGTGACAATGGATGAAACTTGGCTCAATCATTTCTCATTGGAGTCCAATCGACAATCAGCGGAGAGTGAACTGCCCCCGTGATGAACCAACTCCAAAGCGTGGAAAGACGCAACAATCTGCTGGCAAAGTTATGGCATCAGTATTTTGGGATGCACATGGTATAATATCATCGTTTATCTTGAAAAGGGGAAAACCATAAACTCCGACTATTACATAGCATCATTGGAGCGTTTGAAGGACGAAATCGCAGAAAAGCGGCCCCATTTGAAGAAGAATAAAGTGCTATTTCATCAAGACAATGCACCGTGTCGCAAGTCAATGAAAACGATGGCAAAATTATCTGAATTGGGCTTCGAATTGCTTCCGCATCCACCGTATTCTCCAGATCTGGCCCCCAGCGACTTTTTCCTGTTCTCAGACCGCAAGAGAATGCTCACTGTAAAGAAATTTAGTGCCGTTGAAGAAGTAATTGCCGTAAACTGAGACCTATTTTGAGGCTAAAGACATATAGTGCTATAAAAATGGTATCGAAAAATTATATGACCGCTATAACCATTGTATCGCCCTTGAAGGCAACGATATTGGATAATAAAATCAAATTTTATCGAATTTTTTTTCTTTTCTATGTTAGCCTACGAACTTTTCAGCTCACCTGTTGCACCAAATATTGCTCTGATTTGAATTTTGAAAATGCTGACTGTGTATAATTCTGTGCAATTGCACCTCTTATTTCTGATTGTTAGTTTATAAAGTTAACACCTCTGGTATTGGGAGATGTGTTCGAAGTGGAAAATTTGTTTTTTTTTTCTAAGTGTAAAATCAAATGAAGAAGCATTGACATTGTTTAAAGTGACTGTTTTTTGAAGTAAATGCATGTTTTACATCTTGTAAAATGTCAGTATAGCAAAATTTTTAAAAACATTTGATGTTCGATTAAAATACTCGATTGTTGATTTCCCAGTTTCTTGATATCGTGAAATTTTTAGTGTCCCCTAAAGTGTGATATAAAAGTTGTTTTTTTTTTGTAATTACCTTTAGTTCATTGTTTAAGGTTGATGACACTTTACCTTCGGCCTGAAGGAAATTTTAAATAGTGTAATGAGTTGATATACTCAAAATGATGATTATATTTTTTTCAATTGTTAGGAAATGATAATTGACAAAGTGAATGGAGTAGATGTTCCAAGATACTTAGCCTATGATATTGTAAAGTTTGAGGTCAGTATATCGAACCAATTATTAAATTTCTTATACGCTTCATAAAATTTTTATTTTTTAAGAAATTTAATTTAAGAAACTATCTATTAGTTTCTTCACTTACATTTTTTTAAATTGTTAAATAATTATTTAAAAAGTTGTTTCATTTTAAACCTATATTTTTTATTTTTTTTATGGCTATTACTTGTATAATTTATTTGAAATGACAGCTTTTTAAAAATCAAGGGAATTAGTTAATTTAAAAATTGTATTTTCCTTTTTTCCCTTCAATTTATTTATTAGTGATTTCAATTATTATTAGCCCAATTAGTGATTTAACTAAATTTACTATCAATTTATATTTTATGCAAACTTTAGAATTTTTTGAAATTAAATGCTGTTGTTAATGAAATACCCTAATTCAAATAGTTTTTTTCTTTTGTCTACAATTCTAAAAGTTAAATAAGTTATTTGTTTTTAAGGTTTTTCATTTTATCGTTCCTGTCATATTATTAACTTAAATATCAATTTTTACAGTACTTTATTGTTGAAAATCTTATTTTAGAACAAGTTTTAATGTTTTAAATTTTTATTAAATTAGCATGTCAAATCAATTTTTTCCTCATCATTTTCAGTTTTTATTAGGTAGGTAGATGCCTTTAACAGAACTTAAGCTCATCAAATTTTCGGACAGAGTTACTGAAAACTAAAAAAGTGAAATAATCAACTTGATTCAAGAATTTAAAGTGACTCTAAAAATGTGAAGCATGCACTTTAACATCTAAGGATTCTTAAAGAAAATAGTTTTTATGTTACTCACCTTAGTAATCTTATGTATATATGTAAAAATATAGATAAAGAATGATCCTTTCTCCCTTTTCACGTACATTTTATTGAAGATTCACAATTAATAAAACCATACAAAATGGGCATCCTTTTCAAGGTTCTTCTAGTGTTAGATGTCAATGAGATTTAGTTTGAACTGCAAAGACAAGTTGATCCTACATATAAAGAGGATGTAATTTTGTACGAGCTTTACCGCAATTAAAGAAAAGGTGTCACTATTAAGTTTCTGGATTGAATTCTAATAACTTCTGAAAGTATGAGAATCATAAACCTTTTTTATATGTTTTGAAGTACCTGATGGAACGCACTTCCCTACTTTGCCCTAAAAGTTTAAAAAACAATTTTAATGTCCTTTATATTGGATAGTTCCGATGTTATTTAAATGTCCTAAATATTTTTAAGCCTTGTTCCTTCAGAAAATTATTCACTTTTTAAGATGAATCATTCATTATATTTTTCAGACAGATCCCTTGCAGATATTTTGTTGGAATTTTGCAGATTTTTTGTTCTCAAGGTCAAAGACATCAAGAGAATGCCATACCAGTGGAGAAATTTTATGTCACAAATTTTCTTTCACCTGTTTTGCTAATTTAAGATTTAAAGGAAAAATAAAATGAATCAGGGATACATAGATTAAGCCGGAAAGTTTCAGATGCTAAAAAAAAAATTTTTTTTTTGAAATATCAGAATGCGAGCAAATTATTGGAATAGAACTTCTCCATTAGCTAATCCTAAATTATCTTCTCATAATTTATTTTCATTTTGACATTTTAAAAATTTCTTTTTAGTAATTGAAACCTCATGGCTTACTCTAGGTTTGTCTGAATTCCCTTTTTTTTATTATATAAATTTTAAATTAGTAACAGAGGTTAAACTGAATTTGCGACGGAACTCCGTGGTATGGAGTCCTTTTAAGAATGCCAGAATTTATAAGCAGGCTTAAAAAGGACTCGAAAAAATATTTCTGAAACTTTTATAGTTTAGTGCAGAAGTGCATCATATCAGGTGGAGATAACATTAAGTATAATATTTTCAGGTATGCAATTTATGTAATATTTTTACGAATTAATAGATCAGTCCAGAAAATTAATAGCCCCTCTTGTATTTAATGCAAAAATTGAATGTTTTTGAGCAGTTGTTTTTATTTCTTTTAGCATTTCGGCCCAGAAATTGCCTCCATTAAAGCATGTAGAGTTATTTTACTGGTGTATTGTTTTTTCCTACACTACATAATTGTAACATTCAGTCCACAATTTGTTTGTATAAACAATGAAAGTTGAATATCTTCTTCAAAATAAAATAATTGAAAATAAATTATTGTTTCTTATATTTTATTGCTTTCCTTAGCATTAAAAAATTGTTTTTGCTAGATTATTTATTTATTAATTTACATATGTTTTTTTTCTTCCCTTTCTGTATAGCATCTAAAATTAAAAAAATTTTTCTTCATTTAAAATTTTAATTTAGAGTTTTTTTTTTAAAATAATTTTTAGAATGTAGATGTTGGTAAGACTGATTTTGATCGCAGACTACTTTGTATCAACAAAGAAATTGTGAGCACTCGAACTGCTGCATTTCAAGAAGGCAGACTGGATCGCACGAAAGAGCCTTTTAGCGTTAGAGCAAAACAGTTTTGGGATGTCACTATGGCAAGACAGGTTAGGATTCATCATTTGTTATTGTGTTGAGTGTTAATTTCGTTTTAAATTTATCTTCTTGAAGTGATTGCTAAATCTTTTTAAGTTTTCATTATCTATTTGTATTGAGTTAATATGAACCTGGGTCAGTTAATCGTATTTCAGTCATAAACATATTTTCTTGAATCTTGAATCCATATTGAAAATTGTAATAAATAAGCTAATTGTTATTGTTGATCATAAGACATTTTAAATCTGCATGTAATTAGATGCCTGGCAAATGTGAGGACCATGGTAATTTATTTTATGGTGGTCCTAGTAATTGTTTATTGCAAGCACTTTAGTATAACGAGCTTTTTTTTTTCTTTCTTTATGGTCTCGTACACTATAGCTGAATTATTACAGTTTATTAAAATTAAGAGAAGATTTTAAAAAATATATATATTTTGGAATACGATTCTTTCATGTCTTCCTAAAAATATGCCAAAAAGTGAAATTAATTGGTCTAAACTTTTGACACTTCTCCCATCCTTATTTTATACTATATAACTTTATCTAGATCCTTATATTAACTATAAATATTATATTATTTTCTTGATTGAATCTGGTATTTATAGCTTTTAGGAGAAAAGTTTAGCAGAGAAATGTCGCATGAAGTCGATGGGCTTATATTTCAACCACTTCTAGACGTAAGTTTTTCTCTGTCGATTTATAATTTTTTTTTTTTGCATTCTTATGGCGTGTATTTTGCATTGTTAAAATTTGCATGACTTTTTTATGTGATTGTATTAGCTCTCAATCCAGAAGAGCTCTATTAATATGGAAAAAACATGAAGAAATATAGTTTTATGAAATGTATTGGTCTTGTGTTCATATGTAGCAGCATTTATCAAGTGAATCAGCTGCACTATCTTTAACAATCCAAATTTGTCTCAGAGTCAGACAGATATTATTGTTGTAAAAATTCAGATAAATCTAATAAACATGTAGCAAAATTTGCAAATATAGAGTATTTATACATAAAAATGTTTAGTTTAAGTTTAGGCATGTTTTAAGAAAGGAGTCCCAACAATTTTGCACCATTTGTTTGTTTGCCTCTTAAAATAAAAGGAAAACAAAGATGGAAAATAATCTGCAGTTGCTGTAATAATAAGCTACCATGATGGAGGGTTTCTGCTACTGAGTATTTAAAGCTAAACTCAGTGGTTTGACAGCCCGTAGAGGGCCGAGGCCTACTGTGCCCATCTCAGTTTCTTTACTTTTGAGCGCTATTGTGCAAGAGTAGATGCTCTGGTTAGGTGGTTAGCCCAACACTTAGCTTCCGAGCATGCTCTGTACACATTTTATTGACTCACCGAAGGGATGAAAGACTGAGTCAACCTTAAGCCTCTCGAGAATCCAAGCAAGGACCTGTGCGACGACAGTGCAAAGCTCTACCATCCACTCAACCATTGGGTATTACTAAGAATAATTTTTTTTAAAAATATTTCTTTTAATTAATATTTGTAGTTCAGAATATTTATTTTCTAAATATATCTGCACTACTTTATGTATAAAATATCATTTTAAATGGTGAGAAAAATTTTAAACTATTCTCTCACACAATTGCATCTCCTTTAAGTAACTTAGTGCCACCTAAAAATCAACACAAAACCTTACTCTGTCTCATAATTACTTTTCTTGTTTTAGAAATCTACTCCTGAAATTTTAAAATATCTTATTTTTGCTTTCCAGTGTCTAAAATATTAATAAAAACTAATTAAAACCATCTGAGTGCAGCATTTGCAATCAAAATGCAATATGTTTGCAGTACTTGTTTCTACTCATACTCTTTTCAAGTCAATACAGTTGCATTTGTATTCGTAAATGTTTAAAAATTTAACTGTCATATGATAAATGTTTTAACCTGCATAACCATAATATAATTATATGAAACATATAATGAACAGAATAGTACCATCTCTCAAGAAAATTGGTAGTGATGTTAAAAAATAAGCGACAAAACTGGAAAATGTAGAATTAACTCTCGATACCTTTAAAATGAAAAAGCATTAATAATTCTAAATTTTCAAAGTTAAGAAAAAAGTAACTTTTTTATAGCTGAAGTGCATCCTATTAGCATTAAATCTTCTATTGAAGTGAAAATGTTTATTTTTCTTAACATTTTGGTTGGTTTAATTTTTAGATCTTTCTAATAATTTTATTAATCCGAATAACCAACTGAGCATTTCACATTTGGGTAAGTTTATATAGAAATTTCTCTTCAGTACGCAATTCTCAGCAATAATGGAAAAGTAATTTTTATTTTAGCAAAAGGGGAAAAAAAAAGAAAAGCATAGGTGTTGCAAACACTCTTTTCACCTTGTTAAAGGTGCTGCATTATACAGTTATTTCAAATAATTTTTACTGCTCATTAAAGTAGCATAAATAATGAATGTTTACTATCTTAAATGAATCTAAGAGAAAAAAATTTTTTTGTATACATGAGTTTTTGTAACAGGAAAAAAACAGTAATAAAGAGAAAAAAAGGTAATTTTTTTAGAAAAAGGAAAAGAGATTTGTTTGTTAAAAATATCCGGAAAACAGATGTTTCTTGAAAACGAACATCCGATTATGGAACTTTGTTACTGTATTAAAAAAACTTCAGATACCCAAAACATCAGACTTTTTGGGCAAGTGAATATTAATAGAAGGAAAAAAAATATTGTACAATGAGTTGCAGCTAATTTTTTAGTAGATTATATTGTGCAGCATTGTTCATTAATTTATATTACAGGTTAAATAATGAGTTATTATATTTTAATTATGTAGAACATAGTATATAAAGAGGAGTAAATAAGCTAGTATTATATTTCAGCTATATGGTAATTTATTTTTTAAAAAATTTCCATAAAAGCATTACAAAAAAAATGCATTTAAAGTTAGTATAAACTTTAAATAAATATGTGCATCACACATGATAAGCACATTTGGATGTACTTTACATTCAAATATAAGTAACTTAATTTTTGTAATTTGAATGAATTTCAGTGTAACCTTCAAAAAGATTTTTTTTTATTTGTCACTGTATGTTTTTTAGTTGCCCTTATTTTAGTTCATTTAATGCATGACAATGTACTTCAATGTATTGAAAAAAAATTTCCTTTTAATTTAAGAAAATGATGCGTAACTAACACTGCCAACTTAGTTCTTCATATTTCCTAGACCACAACTAACAAAATGATTTGTAATTCTGTATTATGTATTGTTATCTGTCGTTGTAATTGTTATTAAATTTTTCAGCCTTATACTTGTGGTCGATGTCCTGACGTTTTAAAATGGAAACCATCCAACCTAAACAGTGTAGATTTCAAACTAATAATTCAAACTCGTACTGGCTTAGGGTAAGATAATATATCATGCATTTGTATTTGATACTATATGGTATTACAATGTAATATATTTTTTGAAATGATGATTTTGAATAATTTTCTTAATTTAATTGTTAATTAATTTTTTTTAAATTGCTAATTAATTTTCTTAATTTAATTCCAATATTTTGAGAAAAGTTGTAAACTGAATCAGTGACTTACTATCCAAAGGAAAATAATTTTTCTTTCATATTTTTTTATTAATATTTAAGACAGCTAAATTCAGAAGCTTTGTTGGTTGTGCATACTTGAACATAAGAAAAAAAAAAGTAGTTTTAACTTTTAAGCTAAGGACTACTATTGTGTTAATATATTCATTTATGTAACTGTATTTTGTTAAAATAAATAAATAAAAGTAACAAAAATAAGTATCAATATTTTATTTTTAATATAAGAATCATAAATAAGGCTGGGATGATTGTATTTCGGGTTTTTCGTATCATCTCTCCAGGTCTAGAAACTGTGCTTTCACGTTTCTCAAGACCATTGATTAACGAACTTCCGCGAATCAAAACTTATAATCCAATGAAATTTTTTCTACAATCTAAAATTTAAAGTAAGAATTAAGCTCTAAAATTTAAATTTGGGAACATTCGCTAATTTATCGAGATGGTTTCTTACACATAACTCATCTGGATTTTTTTTTTCTTCAAAAATGCATTATAGCAATCTTCATAAATCTAATATCGAGATTCATATTCACACGATTTTAAAATCCAATATCGTGATTCTTGTAAGAACTAAGTTTTTTCTTAAATTAGTTACTATAAAAATGTGATATTTTTTATTGGTAGGTAGTTGAAGAAATTATGTTAAATGTGAATGGTATATAAATTGATATCTTGTTATCGAGTTTTTGTGCATTTAAATTTTCTGGGTTTTCACTTTGTTTCAATCACCCCTGATAAAATTTTTATCAATGATTTCATAGTTTCCTTATCTCATTATTTTATTTGTTACAGACTTCTGCCTACAAAAGTTGGTTACTTATATGTAGGAGGTAAAAATGAACCATTTGCTGAAATTAAGGTAGGAATCTTATCATTATTTTTTACCTCTGGTTTCTTTTTTAATATAAACTGTAGATTAAAAAGATGTATTTTTTCCTTTTTTATTCTAACTCATTCTTATTACTAAATTTTAAATTCTTCATATTTCTACTACTTAATCACATCAGAAAATTTTTTATTAATTAGATGCATCATTGATACTGCTAATAATAGATTTATGAATTATTTTTATTGAACCCTGTGTAAGGCAAAAAAAAAATTAATTCTAAACTTGAGTCGAGAGCCACATATGAATTGTTTTTGTATGCACATCCCAAATGAAGCTAGCTGCTTTATCTTAATGTTTTGTTTTTTTTTAAATTTTTTAAGTGGTTTATTAAAATTTTTATAGTTAAAAAGATAATTTTATTGCTTTATATTAATGTTAGAAATAAGTAGGGCACTTTTACTGCACCTGATAAATAATAAATTTAATACATTACTAGACTTATTTTAGGAACTGAGCAAATTCAATTATTTATTTGTTGCATAAAATTTTCATATTTGGCAGATATGTCATAAGACTACATGAGTTAAAGGTTTTTAACAGCTTTATGTAATCTTTAAATCTGATCTGTCCAAATTAATTAAGTAAACTTATACAAGTAATTCTTTTAACATAGCAATATTTTTTTAACCAGTCAAGTTTTTGTTGCAATCTATTATTCGTTTTACTATTAATTTATAAAGTCTACTATTAATTTGCCTGCTTAAGAAATTGTCATTAAAAAAAAATGTTCCTCAAGATTATTTTTGCTTTGATTTTTTAACATTTATTTTAATATTTAAAATGTGTGAAATGTACAAATATTTTATTGACTGTATAAATTAGTATTTTAATGTACAAATGACCAGAATAATTTATGTCGAAGTTACTATTTTCGTTTGTGTCGCGATCTCTTGGAACTTAATTTTTATTATTTAATTATATGAAGATTGTCTAAACATAGAGTAGAAGATCTTTATAACACTAACTACCTTGAAATGCAAAGCTTTTTGTTTTTTTAATAGAACATCTCTTAACTCACCTACTGAATATGTCGACAATATTAGTCTGGAACAGATCAGTCTTAAAATGCTTTTAAATAGTTTTTAAATACAAATACTTAAATTTTCCAGAGTATTAAAACTAATGACAAACAAATGTATCAATTTTGGTTTGATTAGCTTTTGAAATTGTAACCTACAAAAAGCATGCGAAAAGTTTAGAGTTCTTGCTTAGTTACTTGAACAGTAATTTTCACTGTTTACATTTGGCTCATGAAGAATTGTGTTTTATATAATTTCATTATATAGATCTTCCATTGTATTAAAAATATATTAAAAGTACAAATTATTTATTAAATGTATAAATTAGTATTTATATGCGCAAATAATAAAAAATATTTTTGTGCCCAAGTTACTATTTTTGTATTTGTTCCGATCTTTCCAGGTGCATTGAACTTATAATTTAGTCCTGCGGTGCAGATTGTATAAATCAGGGGTGATAGTGACATAAAGGGAAAAACCCCTGAAAATTTTATGCGCAAAAACTTGATATCAATCTACATTTTCATATTTAACATAATTTTTTAAACTGAGATTTATGATTAAATTAACTACCAAAAAATTTAGAATGCGTGAATACAAATCACGAGAATGGATTTTAAACTTGCGTTAATACAAATCGTGAAATAGGATTTTAAAAACCCATGAATATAAATGACCTTATTGATTTTAAAAACACGTAAATACAAGCTGCGACATTTGTTTTTTGAATCACGTGAATGAAAATAGTGATGTACGATCTTTAAATTGTGTAACTTTAAAATCAGGTATATACTAAACTTGTGTGAATGAGAGTCGCGATATCAGCAGATTCCGGTGCAGTTCCAAATATCCAAAACGGCGATAATCTGTCAAACCAAAGGAATCAAATCGGTGGATCTCCGCCAATTGGTGAAAGAATCATGTATGCGCAAGTGTCTCGTTAATGGGATTTAGCGTTAGGGATTCTTTTCATAATTTAAATTTCAGATTGCGGAATTGTGTAAAAAATTTCTTTGGATTATAAGCTTTTAATTCGGGAAATTCCATGCATCTGAATATTATTGGTTCGTAAATCACATCTAGTTTATTTTACTCGGATTACAATCACCCCTGATAAATATAGCAATAAAATTCTGTTATTTATGACACAACTTATGATATGTTTAGGTTACAAAGGCACTGAAAAACATGGACAAAAAAATTATTGAATGTAAATATGAAAACAATCAGTGGGTGTTTATGAGAGAAAGAACTGATAAGTCTTTTCCTAATGGCTTCAATACAGCAATAGGTAAGTACTCTCAAAAATATTTGTTATGTTCACTTAAATATAGTTATTGTCCAGCCATCACGAGATGAGCTATCACTTAGTCTAAACAAGAAGAGAGTGTCCTCAATCATTTAGATTTTTTTTTAAAAATCTGCTTGTTTATTGTTAAATTTAGATTTTTTCAAAATAAGTATACACATATAATTGTTATACTCACTAAAGCATGCAGTTTAAAAATAAAATTTGAATTCTCGTCCGATTGCTGCTAATTAAACCACTGTAACATGCAACTTAGTGAAGTGAGAGGGCCAAATCTCATATGACACCAGTAATGGTGAATGAAATGAAGAAGAATTTGATGTGAGAGGACGTAATTCTCAGATGTCATAAAAATTCATTGTCATCCAGAGTTTTAATTGAAAGGTGTGGAAACTCAATTTGGAGGATGATTTTTATGAGTGTTATTTGATTTGTTATTTAAATCCTAAAAAAATGTATTATTATTTTCCCCCCAGGTGTTTGTGAAAGCATAAGAAATCCTGTAACAAAAGAAATGCTATTTGAAACTATTGATGTGTATCGCTGGAGGCCTCCTCCTACTAAATAATTCAGCTGATAATGTGTATATATAGCATGCTTTATAAATAAAAGAGGTAAATGCTTCCATGAAAAAGGATATTCAACCTATATTCTAAATATTAAATTGTTTTTTTTTTTAAAATTATAATTCATAAACACTTATAATTTTTATAAAATATAATATCACTGATTTTGAGGCTTTCTTTGAAACGTAGAATTATTAGAAAAATGTGTTAAACGATCATATAATTGATTTATTTATATGTATATAAAATTATCATTTTTTTCTATACTTTTGAAAATTATCCAAACTCAGTGAATTATTTTTACTTTATCTATGACTCATTTTTGTCTTATTAACATCAAGTAAAAATTTGAGAATTACATTGCTTTTAGTGAGTGCAGTTTCACGGGGCATAATTTTTCATAGTGCCCTCGAGGCTTAATGTCCCTTATTATATATGCAGAGCGTAGAGATTTAAGTTATATTGCAGAGTAAAGATACTTGGAAATCTGACATTGAGACATGGTTAGAGAGGTGCTAAAAATATACACATCATGCAATAACTCAGTTCATATCTTTTTAAAAAAATGAAAACTGAAAATTTGATTGAGTGATAAAAACATGCTCATTTTCAAAATTTTTCTTATTGCAGAATTTAAATTTTGATTTTACTGTAACATATAAATACTGATGTAAAAATTTTATTCTTCGATTGAGACAGTATTACAATTTAACAAACTACATACTAATTAAGTTTTCCTGTGCATTTGATTTAAAGGTTCACTTTTGATATGCTAAATGTAGCATTTTAAATTGGAAAACAAAAATTTGTATTTTCATGTTTATGAATGTTGGAATTTAACAACAAAAAAATTTTTTTTGAAAATAAGTTATTACCTCTAATAATTTTACTATACAATATTTTTTTGCTAATGGCATTAGCAAAACATTTGTAACGACCTCCCGGAAACCTGAAAATTACAATGACTTGAAAAATTAAGGAAATGAAATTGAATAAAGCAGGTGTTTGTAATCCAGTTTTAAAGTTCACTAACAGGGCGATGTTAATAAGAAAACTATGAAATATTTTTTTCAAAATAATAACTTTTTACATCAACAACATTGCACCATTAGAAGACACGAATTAACAGCAGTGTTTACAACTATTTAAGTTATATGGTCTGACTGCAGCAAAAATGCTTTTTAATTTTTGCAGTTCCATTTGTTTACGAATTTGCAAGTAATTTCTGATCTTGATGAGAATAAATAATCTTATTTCTTAAACAGAATGCAGCAAATTGTTCATTTCTGTACCTTCCATTTTTCTTTAATAGATTTTTCAATCTGTGTATAATTTTTCGGCAGAAACCTGTTGCTACCTACTTTGTTTTAAATATGTAACGAATTCATTGTGTACTGAAGTTACGTTGGCTTTGAAATTGATGTGTTGCTCACCATTTATATGCAAAAAAAGCTGCAAGGTTTTTATTATTCTATAAACAGAGGGATCTCACTATTTAATAATTAGGCCCTGAAAAACATGTCACAGGAAAATCTGAATTTATAAAAACATAGCTAAAAAATTGTGTGGTTTGAACTTAAATGTTTTTTTAAAAAATTTATATCCTTTCTCACTTGTGTGTCATGTTTTCTAGAGGAATGTTTTTTTTTTTTTCCCCTTTGTGGAAAGCACATATGCTAAACAATTTATGACTCCTCATTTAGGAAAGTTTTGTAAGGGTAGTTATTGTTATCCTTCTGATTATTATAGATTTTCATAACGAGTATATTCAGATGGCACAAAGTATAATTGGGTTATAAACATTGTTAAAATATTTTTCTGTGTTATTTATTTTACCATTGTTAGCATTTTGATTCGTTGAATAATAGAAATGAGCGTATAAAATGTTATTCCATTGATTTGATGTTATTGTACATAAATGAAGTATGGTTGTAAAGTATTCTACACTCTCATTTAATTTTTCATTTTGTCATGTTTTAAAAATGTATTTTAAATAAAAAGCTGTTTTTTAGATGTTTCACTTGTTTTTATTCAAATTTTTGGTTAACACTGAGTTTTCTTTTTAAATAATTTATATTTTTCCACATTTTGATCCTTTTGGCCGGCCGCCCACTGAAGAAGCGAGAGGGAGGTGAAAAACCCCCAGTTTGACTCTCGCCTCTCCACCAAACGGGTTTTTAGGGGGTGAGCTGAAAAATGACTGCACATTGAGGAAGTGTCCGCCTCCTCCTCAACGAAGGCATTGATTCCGCAGATATTTGTGTAAACTGGAGTCAAAAGATGTTTTTTTGCTAGCAATATATATATATGCATGCTTAGCGATATAGAAAATATATTAACAAAGTCTAAATTAACTGGAGAAAAAGGTTTTTTTCATTCTCAGATGACGAAAAGCTATTTTAATTAATTAAATTGAAATGTTTAAAAAAAATTCTGAACAATTTTAGGAAGAAAATCACTTTTAAAAATGAGAAAATGAACAGCTTTTCTTTTTTTCCTTTAAAAAAAAAAAGAACGGTTTATTTATTCTTGAAACTGATTGCTAATTTCTTAACAGTTCTCATTTCTTAACAGTTTTTTAAGAATGATTCTTGGTGTACAGAATTGTTCTTCAAAGTTTGTGTTCCATGTAATTTAATTTACTGTGAAAATTGCACATTATAATTAGCAATACTAATGGAAAAGTCTTCATAGATATTATTAACCAAATACTATAATTTAAAAATATTTTTAAAAAACTTCATCAAAAAATAACTTTAGAAGTGAAAAAGAGCGTCTTTTTAATAATGTGATTAATCAGCTTTGAAAAATAATTTTTGATAGCATAATTTATGCCTGTAATATTAATGAAGAACAATTTTGTGCACTTAAAATTGTTCAATGAGCATTTTTTAAAGTTTTTATTCAGTATACTACAAGTTTATTTTTATTTGCTAAATAATATTTATTTTTATTTGCTAAATAATGCTTATTTTTTATTCTCTAGAATATTATCCAAGAGAAAATTACGGAGAATTTTACATCCCTACTGAAATTATTTAATATAGAGAAAAATATTATCACTCTCTTCCATTAATGGATTTTGTTAAAGACTTATATAAAACTATTAATTTATTATTCGATTAACACTGTAGTTGAATTTTTTTTGCACATAACCTCAACAAAAAAGGGAAGAATTTTTTTATCTTTTTGGTAAATAGATACAAAACTAGTACAGATCCTATTTAAACTTCAAATTCTCAGTGGAAAATAATTAAATTAATTAATTCACAAGAAATTATTACATTAAAATCCATAACATTACATTTATAACTAATATTGTTAATTCAATTCAGGACCGTCAATCAAAGCGCGATCAGGATCGCGCGAAGAGGAGGCAAGATTTTACGGGAGGCGAAAATAGGGTCGAACCTATTTGAAAGGTTTGTGGGAGTTTTTAGCCTCCTGGAGGGAAAAAACTTTTCACTCCCTCAATGTGTGCTTGCTAGTAGAAAACTATGAGAAACAAATTTACCCCACCTTCTGTATTCCTCTCGCTTCCCGCCTGCCTTAATTTCTTATCTGCAGTCACCTCACTCTGTAGTTTGCAAAAAAGCTGAACTCAGCTTGAGGGTAAAATTTCGGAAGCACGTATTTCAGCTATTATTTATATGAATTGAATTTTTTTCAAAGAATATTCAATAACCTCACTTAAAGTTATGAATAAAAATTTAGGAAATGAATCTTATACAGGAGTGTGACTCGTTTAAAAAAAAAAAAGATTTATTTAAGCTAGTGTAACATTTAATTCATTAAAGTACATTGTAGATAGAGGCTAAAATTCCAACTTTTACGAACTGGCTTTCAGTAGTCAGAAGTACAATAACACAGAAATACATATAGTTAAAGTTTACAAAATTTGAATTAGGGCAACTTTTAAGGTGTATATTCTACTTATTCTATATAGGTATACAATATTAATAAAGTTATGTATGAATTTACTGTATTAAATTTAAAAAAAAGTAACTCTTACATAGATACAAAAAATTACAAGTTATACAACACTGAAATTTTATATTTCCTTACGAAATTAAATTAATTGAAATCAATAGTTTTTGGTTAAATTAGAAATAGCCCTTATTGGCTTTTTATCATTTTGCATTTGAAACACTAAACATTTTTGCTCACAGCATTTTAGATTTATGTTCTTTAGCTCTTCTACGAGGAGAGAAGTTAAAGTTTCAGAATAGTTTTGAAGGTGGGAAAATGAGTAGAATTGTTTAAGGAGTAGAAAAAAATTATCGTAGATTAATTGCGAACAACAAAATTTCGCAATTTTTGTTAAGAGAAAACAGATTATTATGGTATTCTTCTTAAAAACCTTCCATTTTTACTACTTAACTGTAATCTTGACTATGAAATAGTGATAGTTACAGATAAATTATAATATCTGGCATCACTATAAAGTGTGGAAAAACATACTTCAAATAAAAATTAGAATTATTGGTTAGTTGCTTCAAAGTTTTGTTATTTAATGAACTCCTTATTGGACTCAATTCTTACTAAGATGCAATCTGAAGTATATTATTCTTGAGTTTAATATTAAATTAATGTAACAATCTGGAGTTTAATATTCTATTATGCTTCTTAGTCACAACAGTCTTTAATGTTAATTAAAGAGTTTGTTATTTTGAATGCAGACAAAACATTTAAAAAATAATTTCTAAATGATCCCTCAATACAATCACTTTATAAATTCTGTAATTGTTAATTGGTTTAAAATCATATTAAACAGTAAGGAGATCAAAAATTTTGAAATGACATTATCATACAAGATTTGAATTTTGAAAATTTCATTTTCAAAAATAAAAATTTTAATAGTTGGAAAGTTCTAATAGAATTTCAGGATTGTAAATTAAATTCTAGTACTTCCTTTGTATTTAGTCAAAGAACCTAAAATTTCTTAAACAACAAATCAGTTAAATTCCTTTAGTGTAGTTTGTTTACAGCCCCAAGTGAAATAAGTTTCTGAAGATTTAAAAATAGTTGAGTCTTATTTTTAAATAAAATGAGTAGTGCAATACATAATGTTACTGCTTGATATCTTTNAGATATACTAAAAAAAAAAGTAATCCCCATTATCTTGTAAACACCTATTTACATACAAATAAATAGTTAGAATGTCTATTCTGGATATTTCACAACGAAACTAAGAAAGGGTTTAAAAATAAAAGACCGCGTACCCAGAATCACTTTTCGAAACTAATGCTTATATTGTTCAGTTTTGCTAAGGGAAGGATGGGATAGCTTAACTGACCCTCTATCATATATCACTGTCACTGTACCAATTCACTCCTCCCTCAAAGCGACACCCCCAAAGGGTGACTATTACAACTCTGATTTTGCCAATTCCGGTTTCTTATCTGGGTATCGCGTCCTCTTAATTAAAGAGTTTGTTATTTTGAATGCAGACAAAACATTTAAAAAATAATTTCTAAATGATCCCTCAATACAATCACTTTATAAATTCTGTGATTGTTAATTGGTTTAAAATCATATTAAACAGTAAGGAGATCAAAAATTTTGAAATGACATTATCATACAAGATTTGAATTTTGAAAATTTCATTTTCAAAAATAAAAATTTTAATAGTTGGAAAGTTCTAATAGAATTTCAGGATTGTAAATTAAATTCTAGTACTTCCTTTGTATTTAGTCAAAGAACCTAAAATTTCTTAAACAACAAATCAGTTAAATTCCTTTAGTGTAGTTTGTTTACAGCCCCAAGTGAAATAAGTTTCTGAAGATTTAAAAATAGTTGAGTCTTATTTTTAAATAAAATGAGTAGTGCAATACATAATGTTACTGCTTGATATCTTTGAAAAGTAAGATTTTTAAAGGAAGTTTTGTTTATAAAAATAGATTTTGCAATAAAATTACAATTTTATAATGTAATCTAATACACAATTTTAATTTAAAAACTCAAAGGATGGAAGCCTAAAAAAAAAAAAAAAGGAATTCTCTAGAAAAGTATCACATCTGTACTTTCGAAGGAAATAAGATTTTATGGAAAAAATAAAAATGTGTTTTTCTACTAATGCTGTTTTTCTTTGGTCCCAATTTCTCGTCAAAATTGTTTTTTAAGCAATGACTGTTAAATTATATTTCTGATTCGTCATTGCTATCAAAAGGTATTGCATTCCTTTTCTTGCAAAAACTTTTTCAAACATTCCTGTCATGTCATTCAAAAATGTCATTCCTGACATTTCTGCCTACAATGTAATAATCTGTGTAGATTAAAGTAGTCTACTCTAAATACATACTTTAAAATCAAAATGGTTGTTCATAATAAAAAAAAAAGTGGTAAATATGTCTATTTCACTTTTTTTAAGCATTGCTATTACGATTTTCATTTTAAATATAGGTATTTGTTAATCTGCTAATTTTACTATATTTCTTCTACTAGAGTTGAATATAGTTTTACAATTTCTAAATAGATCAACTGAATAATAAAAGGCTTTGAAACAATGTCATTATTTCATTTTTCACTTATTAAACAGTTATCATTGTTATAATAAACAGTTTTTTTAAAAATAGTAAATTTTTAAGAACAGCAGCATCTTAAATTCTGAAGAAAAAAAAGAGTAACTTTTTCTTGCTAAATAATTTATTTTATTCTGAATCTAAAAATACATTTGTAAAAGTTTATTTAAAAACTTAGAAATATATAAAAATGCTTTATTAAATGTACATAAAAAATACACATATAAATTTATGTATTTGGGGTAAACAATAAAAATATTCTTCACTTTTCTTCTCAACTCTTCTCAGCAAACAATACTTCTGGAAATCAATATATATTTCAATATACACAATCAATTGTTTAGTACAATAGAGATCTATTAGTAATCAGATAACTATAGCATAGAAAATAATATTGTATTAGAGTTTTTTAAACACATTTAAATATAATGCATCATTTTTTTTCTACTTCATTATTAAAAAAAATGTTTTTTGTTCCAGTTTTATCAATACTTTTAGGTGTTAGCATACTGGTTAGAATTTGAATTGGTATTTACAAACAATTATTTTTGTCTAAAACCACATTTATGTACAACTACATAAACAGTAGAAAACCGAAATAATAAAATATTTTGCTTATTGTTGATTCTTAGAAAATATTCTTGTACATGAAATCATTTTGATCTATTTAAATGTGATTTGGTTAAAATTTTTTGCTAAAATGCACATTTTAAGTGCAAAATTAGTTTTTGAGCTGTAAGAATGCAATCAGAATATCAATCATGAATTTTACTAACAAAATATTTTTTCATTTCGTGAAAGGATTACTTTTTAAAGCTTAGTGAAAGATTCAGTTAAGTTATTCAGAATTTTGTGAAGATTCTTCTTCCCCTTTTTTTTCTTCTTAAAATTAAATTTTTTGTGATGCAGTCATATTCTACTTCTAGGTCTTTGTTTCATAATTTGTAAATACCAAATTATGTGTAATTTCTTTTTGAGATTTAAGGAAGGCTACCATCAAATATATTTTGCAGAATGCACCAATTGTTTGTGTGGCAGCATGAAAGAACTTTATATAAGCTAAGACGAAACAATCTGATTTCTAGCCAACAATACTAGAGCACTGTCTCGTATTGTAATAGGTTGCGAAACATTTGTAAAAATGTTCTGGAACCTTTTAAAAACTATAATTTTTGGCACAAGATGGCATTGCATATCCATAGGATTTGAGATACATGTAGATTTGACCTTCTACTTGAAATGAGAGGTACACGATTCTTCACATGCATGTGGTTTATAATTGAATCAATGAATTTGAATACCGGCCATCTCCAACAAAACTAATTTTCAGGAGAGACAAAAAAACTGAATAGTTAAGCACGAGCTAGATATACAGAGAGCTTTTTTTAATTGCAAAAAATATAATATAACAGTGGCAAACGACAAGTATGGCAAATGCCTTGTTTTGTTTCAAAAAGGCTCAAAATTGATCAACATCAACTTTTTTTTCCTTACTTAGAAATGTTAGTTTTTTTTTTAAATATTTTTTATTTATTTATTTTCTTAAAGTTAGGGTAGGATTTTTGAAAAAAAAAAGCATACAACGTTTGAAAGAAAGACCAGAATTCAGAGAATCCATGATCCCCAGATACATCTTTATTTTATTTATTTTCCCACAACAAGCAAAGGTACAAGATAAACAATTTGTTCCTTCTCTTCATATCACATTGCGTGGATGTAGTCATTCTAAATGGGCAATTATGCAGTGAGGGAACGGATGGAACCCCTTCAAACAGAGATAACTCTTTGGTAATGACCAGAGGACATAGAAATGTGAAAACCATGGGGTGTCTCAGTTTAGTCAAGACTGATTATTCTGCAGTAAAATGCTTGCAAATCTTCAATTTTATCAGGGGTTCTTAGAAATTCGTTTTTCGAATCTGTTGAATAGATTTCAAATAGAACCCCTATTGTAAATTACCTTCCACAACAAAAGATTTTTACCATTTATGGTGGGAGCCTCCTCCACAAAACTGTGAAATAGGAAGAGCCTCTGCCTCACTCGACAACTAATTTGAAGCAATGGCACGATTTAATAATGAATACACCCAACTATATTGAAAAAATAAAAACAGACGTAAGTATGAGTTGTTAGGTGCTCAAGTTCATATAAAAAAAAAATCTGCTCGTTTTAGTCGTTTTTTCAAAATTTAATTCAAAAAATCAAATATTTAAAGTCTATTTCGGAGTTTTATAATCCAGATCAGATTGTTACAGCTTCTGGGCTTTTATAGTTGATTCAACTATTTAAATGAGCAACGTGTACTACAAGAATTTTCTTTGTTGATAGTAAGTAATTATTTCCTAAATATTTTAATAAATGCATTATACTTAATTTATTAGTTCATGTTCTATGCAATCATTATATTTTATAAAAATGGAGTTTATACGCAGGGATGCCATTTGCTCCGCTATCTCCAAAATATTTTATCAAGACTTTCCATAACAACTCGGGCATGAAGTTTTGTAATCTTTCTTCTGTATCTTTTTTTCCCAATTTACTTCAGATTGCAATTTTCTTTCTTCCAAAGGTTAAACTCGGTGATCCCTTCTTGCTTTTTCAAAATCAAGCAGACTAGAACAGATTTTTCTTCCAAAATACAATTTTTTTTCAAAATCAATAAGCTTTTTCAATTAGACACAAGAAACTTTAATTTTCACGAGCAAATATTATTAAAATTATTAGAACAACAGTTGCGATGGGGCTATTAAAACAAAGGAAGAGATACGAGAAAATGAAAGAAGCAAGAATGATGTATTGAGGTCTTAGTGTATTATCATCCTTAAAATAGTCTATCTGCTAACAATTATTTAATTTTAGTTCTTAATATAAATTTAGCAATATACTTAAGTTTTTTGTTGAGCTAGAAGATTCTTTAATCTTCTATTTTCTTCAATTAAGTCCTCAAAAGCTCTCTGTAATTCACTACAGCAAACCTAAAAATAAACAGATAGTTTAAAATTAACTTTTAACATCACATTTTCAGTTAATGATGATCCAGATTGGTTTCACTATTAAAACAAACAGTGAAAGCTAATCTGGATCTAATTACCAGTTTGTACTTTTCCCTTATAGCATATAAATAAAGTGCAATACTAACACAGCTGAAAAACATAAAATAAAAGCATCTTACAGATAATGATGAAACCAAAACATTTTAGTTAGATTTCATAGTCAACAAACAGCTACTGCTAGCATGCCATTTAATATGTGAAAAGTTAGTATATTACAATATGAATTGAAAAAAAAAAATAATAATAATAAATTAATTAATTAATTAAAGACAATAAAAAAAGATAACTACTACAATTAAGGTTGGTAAGTTTTTGACAGTTTTATCTGGTTTTAACCATCATGTTAAAAACAACCCCTTTTGTAAATTGTCCAAAATCATGGTCTAGAATATCATAATCTTTTACAAATATTAAATAATTATAACTAAAAATATGTAAAATTGTAATTAATCCAGTCCTTGATTTATATACTTATTGTTAAAAATTCAAAAACAATCTTATATATATATGTAAAAACATATTTAACAATCATCTTGTTCATTATGTGTAAAATTAATTTGAATTTATTATTTTTATAATTCTTCCTGAAACAAGCAATAACAAAACACTAGTTTTGTAAAGATGATTCTTCAGTTTTGAATGAATAAGACTGTAAAGAATATAATTTGTTCAGCCAAATATAAAATTGGTCAAATAGTTTCTGAGTTAAAGTTGTATATTTAAAATTTGATTTCACAAGCACTATTCCATCAATATTGTTGTAGTTTTATATTTTGCCATACATAAAATTACATTCTTTATAGTGATGTAAAGAATTGTATAACCTACTCCATATAATCTTTTGACTAATATTAAATAAAATAATAAATAACTAAAAATTGTTTTTTGCACTGAATAATCTTTGGATAAACGAATTTTATAATTGTGTGCAAAAGCTTTTCAAAACAACACTTAAAAATTTGTTCAGGCATCATGAAATAAGCAATTAATAAAATTAACATTTAAGTTATTAAAGTGTTGACTGCTCTTCTGGCATAACTATTGGGAGCCTATTTCCCAGATTGCGGCTTTGCCCTTCCCACATTTTGTGAGTTAGGAATCATAATTCGTCAAAAAAAAGGGTACAAGGAAAGTACATTTTTGTACATTCAAGGAAAATACATTTTTGTGTCTGATCTCGTAATTTAAAACTGCTCGTCTGCACTAATTAATTAGCATATTTAAAGTGAGTCTTCCCAACCTTTCAGATTGAGTCTTAGTACATGAAAATGCAATCAGATCAAAAGTTATTTAGGGTTGTTCTGTTTTTGTTTTAGTTCACTGTACGTATATAAGCATTAGCAACAAATATGGAGAATCGAAAAGAGTTTAAGATGTTGAAATCATACAAATATTGGCAACCAGCTTAGTTTTACTAAAGCCAAAAAAAAAAAAAAAAAAAAAAAAAAAAAAAAAAAAAAAAAAAAAAAAAAAANAAAAAAAATTCATGAATTGTGGCACAAAAAAATTAATATCAGTATTTAGATTTATAACAATTAACAACTCTTAATCTGTTAAATAAACTGATCAGTTTTAATATATCAAGTAATATTGATCTTAAATTATAAATAGTATAGTATCGTTTGGGGAAAAAAAGCAGTTATTAGTTCATTAAAATTTTGATTACATTTATCGCAGATAATTTAACATTAATCAAAATAGTGTAAATATTGTAAATGGTTTGATTTCTTATTAAAAAAAAACCTTATGACATTAGAGTTCCTAATATCTAACTCTTAGTTAGAGAGTTACGACTACAGCTTCAAAATTGTCTGAAACAGCTGGGTTGCAAAAGAGAAAGATAATGGAATGGTTACCACATTTGGCACCATTTCTCCACAATCTCTTTTTCTTCTTACGAGATTAAACTTTCACAGTAATTTTTATTGATTTTTTTTTTTTTTTAAGAATCATGTGATATTTAGGTCAAAGATATGTTAAAAATGAATAGCATTTTAATTAAAACAGTAAATTCTTGATAACTTTACAAAAATTAAATTGGTATGTTTTTTTAAAATTATTTTTATTCAGGATGGCCACTCAAATCAGATTTCAAATTTCCCTGATTTTTCCAGATAAAAATCTTAAAATTTCCAGGTCTGTATTTTTTTCTCTTTCTTATAAAATGTAGGATGTGTACAAGAAAAGTATCGATATTATAAAATATTTTATTCAAAATGTTACTTTTTTAACATATCTTGAAAAAATAAATTCTTTTGACAATTTGGCAAGATTTTGTTTATTTTTAATTTTATTTTTTAATGTTTGGGTACAACATTCATTTTTAAAAAATTAAGACATGTGGAGAAAATAATATATTTAGCTTGTAGAATATATAGTTTTTATTGATTAAAATTTTTTTAATGTGTTATTTTAAGTAGTTTTTGCTCAAAGTGTACCTATCAAATGGCAAAAACAGAATGACCAATAAAACCGTTGCAAGTGATTATAGATCAATAAATGTTTATAATTACAATGGCTCCCAAAAGTGTTTGTTCACTTATAACTTTTATTGAAATAGGAAATAAAAAGTCATTAATTAAAATGAATATTTCAGAATGGGTATTTGATAATAAGATGTATAATCTATTCTTAGCAAAATTGCATGTAACATTTTAGTTCAATATTTAGTAAATCAAAGAAAAAGTTCATTTTTAAGATATCAATAATCAAATAGTAACAAAAATTTAACCCCATGAAAGACATTCTACACTTAAATGTTTTTGGATTTTAGAATTAGAATTATCGTCAATTGCTTTATTTTTTTTATTTAATTATTTTTCATTAATTTTTTTATTTATTTACATTTGCAATTTAGTAACAAACTTATGATAGCAAAATTATATTTTACCTTTTGCATGCTGATTCCTGTAATATTTTATTTTATCATTTAAAAGCGGCTCGTGGTCGTAATAAAACAATAGACCAGATTTGAAAGTTGATTATTTGTCATCATAAGAGATAAATCAGTAATGAATATTGCTAAATTAGTTTACTGTGTGCTATTGCACTGTAATATGTGATAAAATGCTTAAAAGAAGGACTTCATATCAAAGATTAAAATTATAAAATTTGAGGAAAAACTCATAAACTCACAATTGAGTGTTGTAAAAGTTTCTGTACAATTTAATAAAAAATATTCTGCTCAAGTTTCACCCGACAAAAAAAAAAAGAAAAAAAAAAAAAAAAAAGCTAATANAAAAAAAAAAAAAAAATAGTTACATTTATTGGCAAACTTTTGAAAGCTATTGTAGATGCGAAAGGAAACTCGACTAAATGTTAATTGAACGAAAATTAGAATATTTACTAATAGGCGGAGAAATTTTTGAAAGTGTACAATGACTTTTGTGGGATAAAGTTTTCTTTACTTTAATAATTTGATGATAGATTTCTTAAAAATAAACTTTTGCTAAGAATCGAATATATTTTTTACTATTAAATATCCATTTTGAAATATTCATTTCAATTAATGGATAGTCTTATTTCATTTTTAAAACACGTATAAGTACGAAAATCAATGTTTGATATTACAACCGCAAAAACGAATCACGACATAGGATTTTAAGCTCGCGCGAATACGAATAGCTATATAGAGTTTTAAAAGCTCGTAAATATAAATCGCTATATTGGAATTTTAAATCTCGTAAATAAGAATCGTAATGTACGATATTTAAATCGCCTGAATAAGAATCGCAACGTTCAACGTTCCTGATTTAAAAATCAGGTAAATACGAGAATCGATGTTTCATAATAAAATCGCGATTTTAAAAATGCATAAATACAAAACGCGATATTGGATTTTTAAATTTCGTAACTAAGAATCATAATATACGATGTTTAAACAGCGTAAATAAGAATCGCATTGCGCAACTTTTAAATCAGGTAAACACGAAAATCGATGATTGATATTAAAATCGTGAGAGACTGGACTTGGGATTTCTAAAAGGCTTGTTTGTATTGTTTTTGTTTAGACATAATAAATAAAAATTTACAAGATTAATTGAATGAGCAAATAAATATTTTCACCCCAAATCCACCTCTATTATTTTATTTATTTATTTATTTTTTCGTTTGCTTTCACGCCAGACAACAGGGTCATGACGTCTGAATTGCAAAAATACGAGCTATCCGGCGGACGAATAAAAATACGGAAAATCTTATTTTCTGTGAAGAGAAAATAGCTAAAATAAGTAAAAATACGGAAGGGTGGGTTAGCAGCTAGGATGTAGTTTGAATTTTTTGTTTATCTTTGAAAATCGTAAATAAATATGATTATTTTATTTTAACGATTGAATTTTTT